CAGTATAGTTTCCTGAGCTATACAGTGCAAGGGTGCTTAGTCACTCAGTCATATCCGACTCTTGGAACCCCATGGACTGTAGCCCACCAGGTTTCTCTGTCCAGGGGATTCTCCAGGCAAGAATACTGGAGTGGGTTGCCATTTTCTTCTCCACTGCTATACTGTGGGTTCTCATTAGTCATCTATTTCACACATAGTAGTGTATACGGAAAAACAGACTTGTTTCAAGTTGGGAAAGGAGTACGTCAAGACTGTATATTGTCACCCTGCTTATTTAACTTATATGCAGAGTACATCATGAGAAATGCTGGACTGGATGAAGCTCAAGCTGGAATCAAGATTTCCAGGAGAAATATCAACAACCTCAGATAGGCAGATGACACCACACTTAGGGCAGAAAGCGAAAAAGAACTAAAGAGGCTCTTGATGAAACTGAAAGAGGAGAGTGAAAAAGTTGGCTTAAAGCTCAACATTCAGAAAACTAAGATCATAGCATCTGGTCCCATCACTTCATGGCAAATAGATAGGGAAACAATGGAAACAGTGAAAGACTTTATTTTTGGGGGGCTCCAAAATCACTGCAGATGGTGACTGCAGTCATAAAATTAAAAGACACTTGCTCCTTGGATGAAAAGTTATGACCAACCTAGACAGCATATTCAAAAGCAGAGACATTACTTTACCAACAAAGGTCCATCTAGTCAAAACTATGATTTTGCCAGTAGTCAGGTACGGATGTGAGAGTTGGACTGTAAAGAAGGCTGAGTGCCAAAGAATTGATGCTTTTGAACTGTGGTGTTGGAGAAGACTCTTGAGAGTCCCTTGCACTGCAAGGAGGTCCAACCAGTCAATCCTAAAGGAAATCAGTTCTGAATATTCATTGGAAGGAGTGAAGCTGAAGCTGAAGCTCCAGTACTTTGGCCACCTGATGTGAAGAACTGACTCATTTGAAAAGACCCCGATGCTGGGAATGATTGAAGGCAGAAGGAGAAGGGGACAACAGAGGATGAGATGGTTGGATGGCGTCACCAACTCAATGTACATGAGTTTGAGGAGGCTCTGGGAGTTGGTGATGGGCAGGGAGGCCTGGCTGCAGTCCATGGGGTCACAAAGAGTCAGACACGACTGAGCGACTGAACTGAACTGAACTGAGTGTATATATGTCAATCCCAATCACTCAATTCATCCCACCTCCCCTTCACCCCTTGGTAGCCATATGCTTGTCTATTCTCTACATCTGTATCTCTGTTTCTGCTCTGCAAATAAGTTCATCTGTATCATTTTTCTAGATTCTACATATAAGTGATATACAGTATTTGCTTTTCTCTTTCTTCCTTCACTCTGTGTGACATTCATGTCTCTGCAAATGGCACAGTTTCATTCCTTTTCATGGCTGAGTGGCAACTTGACTTTAAATAGCATAAAATAATTTCAACTGATAAACACCCAAGTCACTGCAAACTTTATAAATCTCTTTTGCATGAAGAACAAAAGTTTACTAAGAGCTTATGCTGTGCTGTGCTCAATTTTTCAGTTGTGTCCAAGTCCTTGTGACCCTATAGATTGTGGCCCGCCAAGCTCCTCTGTCCATGGGATTCTCCAGGCAAGAGTACTGGAGTCAGTTGCCATGCCCTTCTCCAGGGAATCTTCCCAACAAAGGGACTGAACTCAAGTCTCCTGCATTGCAGGCAAGTTCTTTACTGCTGAGTCACTAGCAAAGCCAGTTCACTAAAAGCTTACCATTTTGAATTGTTTTATGTGTTAGGATTTACTTCCACAAAACTATCAAGGTTTTGAGTTCTTGTAAAACTTACAGGTTTTAAGTACATAAAAATAAATATTCTTATGGTAACGAAAGAGGATAGCAGTGGTGGGGACCAGAGATAAATTAGGAGTTTGGGATTAACATGAATACTACTATATATAAAATCAGTAAACAACAAGGACCCACTGTATAGCACAGGGAACTATACTCAATGTATTGTGATAATCTATAATGGAAAAGAATCTGAAGAAGAATATATATTATGTATATGTATAACTGAATCTGTTTGTTGTACACTTGAAACTAACAAAACATTGTAAAGCAATTAAACTTCAGTAAAAAATAAAATTAAAACAAAGAAGTATTCTATTTTGGAGAAATAGAGAACTTGAGACCAGAACACCACTTTAATTTACTAATTTCCTCTATCTGATCAAATCTCTTAACCCCTGATTCTCAATTTTCTTTCAGTTAAATCTTTACCCATTTTGAGAGTCACAGTACACTTTCTATTCTGTAAACAGAATGAAGTGAAATGTTAGTCTGTTAGTCGCTAGTTGTGCTCAACTCTTAGTGACCCCATGGACCGTAGCCCGCCAGGATCCTCTGTCCAGGGAATTCTCCAGGCAAGAACACTGGAGTAAGTAGCCATTCCCTTCTCCAGGGAGTCTTTCCGGCCCAGGGGAACCTGGGTCTCCTGCATTGCAGGCAGACTCTCTACCATGTGAACCACCAGGGAAGCCTGTAAACAAAATAGATGGGCACAAAGATTGGGCCCAGGGATTTCTTTTCTACTTTTTATTTTTCAAGTGAAAATTTTTATTATAGTTGTTCTGTCACGGCTGGGGCAGTGGTACATTTTCCATTTAATTTGTAGATAGATCCTGTACAAGACTGTGATAGAACTGAAGAAGGATGGATGGCATCTAGACACAGAACTCAGGGATAAGCAAACGATTCTGTAGCAGTGGTCAAGGCCTCCGGGCATGACTGACTGGGCTGATCAGAACCCCACTGGGAGAGGGGAGCTTTTGTGAATGTACATGAGGTTGTTGGGTTATGTTAGGCAGGAGGCACATGAAATTGTAGGAAAGCAAAGGAGAGCATGCACACGTTACTGGCAGCCATGGTGTTTTCCATCACACTCCTCTTCTACACAGATGGCCCCAACCCCACCTTCTTGCTGAAGGAGACCAGACAGCGTCAGAAAGCTAGAGGAAGATGAAGTTATGAGGAAGGAGAAACTGGGAAGCAGCTAAAGTCCTTGGTTACCAAGCAGCTATAGAGTAGAGAATGAAAGAGTTAGTCACTCAGTCATGTCTGACTCTTTGTGACCCCAGGGACTATAGCCTGCCAGGCTCCATGAAATATTCTCCAGGCAAGAAAACTGGAGGTAGCCATTTCCTTCTCCAGGGGGTCTTCCCGACCCAGGGATTGAACCCAGGTCTCCTGCATCGCAGGCGGACTCTCTACTGTCTAAGCCACGGGGAAGCCCTGGTAGAGAATAAGGACGGTGATAAGTAGAGGGAAGAAGAGGAGAAACATAGGCAGAGGCCAACGCTCAGGAAGCTACTGAGCTACAGTAACGACAAAGCTCTAGGGTTAACGTCTGGGGACTCCGGATGGAATGCCCTCTGGCCAAGGATGAGCAACCTTCCAGGGAAGGCCTCCGTGAAGCCTGGCCAGCCTAACGTTTCTGCTCTGGAATTTCCATTTCCTCATTAATCTTTCCACATGCTTCCCAGGTGGCCCTAAGGGTAAAGAAGTCTCCTGCCACTTCAGGATGCCTGAGACAGGTTCCACCCCTGGGCGGGGAAGATTCCCTGGGGAAGCGAATGGCTACTCACTCCAGCATTCTTGCCTGCAGAGTCCCATGGACAGAGGAGCCTGGCAGGCTGCAGTCCCTGCCCTTGAATTTCCGTTTCCTCATTAATCTTTCTAGTAAGACCCTGTTTCATGAACAAGCCCAACTGAAACGGAAACACCTCTCAAATTGCATTCAGGGAAAAGTTCTTTCATGATAATTCATCATTTATGGTCAATTTTAAAATCTTGATCATTTCCAAATAATATTTGAAAGAGGTTGGTTCATTATAAGCCCAGTACTATTCCCCAGATGGTGGATCCTTTTCACAATGTATTCTCCCTTGTTCTCTCAAAGGCTTGCTTAAGATCACAGAAAGAGAAAGCAGATGATTTAGGGAATGAAGGGGACAGAAAGAAACTTTGTACCTCATATAGGAAAGAGCCTTTAACAGACAGGAAGACAGAACAAATGAAGCAGTGAGCCAGTGCTTCTACTTTTCTGTTCTCTGCATGATACCAACAATAGCACTTATTCACATAACAAAAAAAAAAATTTTTTTAACAGATAAGGCAGCTGCACCTTAGGAAGGTTAAAAACAGAAAGCTACTGCTTTTAGGGTCCTCCCACATGTTGGGGGGAAGAACAGTTAAACATGGAAAACTTTGAAAATTGTTTCCTAATTTAAACAATCTGTAACAACAATGAAGCATAGTTTCCATCCTAACCTTCCTTGTAAAAGAAACAAAAAGTGCAACAGTTTTAAAGCCAGGATCCTCTGAGGTGTAAAGAAATTCCAAAATTAGGTCCTGTTTCCTGGATGTGACAAATTTGTGCATTCTTTTAGCACGAGGTATCCAAGGCAGAGAATCTCAAAGTGCTTCCTCCACAGCGGAAAACCTACCAAGCAACAGTAAGTAAAAATAAATCTTCACAGTCCAAGTGCAGAGCACTCAATTTCTATCATGCCTTTTACACTAAACCATCGAACAGCAGGCCCTTAGTCAGAAATTTTAGCAGAATTCAAATTTTGTTGGCTTTTTTTCAGATTAGCTATTAAGCACCCTGTTGGTGTTTAGTCGCTCATTTGTGTCCAACTCTTTGCAACGCCGTGGACTGTAGCCTGCCAGGTTCCTCTGTCTATGGGATTTCCCAGGAAAGACTACTGAATTGGGTTGCCATTTCCTTCTCCAGGGGATCTTCCCAACCCAGGGATCAAACCCAAATCTCTTGCAGTGGCAGGCAGATTCTTTACCACTGAGCCACCAGGGAAACCCAAGCACCCTGTACATTTTTTTTTTTAATTCAGATAGTATTTATATTTAAACATTATAGTACAGTTCAACCTCTCAGAAAATCTTCCAGGGTTACATAATTTATGAAGGTTCACATAGAATTCATAAGAAAACTGTAAATTAGAATAAGTCTTACCTTTCATTCTTATTCTTAGACACATTGGAATTTATGTCAATTAAATTTTCGAGGTTCTGGTCTCTACAGGAAAAAAAAAAAGCAGCAAGTATTTAAATACATATCATGGGAAATAGATAGAGAAACAGTGGAAACAGTGTCACACTTTATTTTTTTGGGCTCCAAAATCACTGCAGATGGTGATTGCAGCCATGAAACTAAAAGACGCTTACTCCCTGCAAGGAAAGTTATGACCAACATAGATAGCATATTAAAAAGCAGAGACATTACTTTGCCAACAAAGGTCCGCCTGGTCAAGGCTATGGTTTTTCCAGTGGTCATGTATGGATGTGAGAGTTGGACTGTGAAGAAAGCTGAGCGCCGAAAAAATGATGCTTTTGAACTGTGGTGTTGGAGAAGACTCTTGAGAGTCCCTTGGACTGCAAGGAGATCCAACCAGTCCATCCTAAAGCAGATCACTCCTGGGTGTTCATTGGAAGGACTGATGCTGAAGCTGAAACTCCAGTACTTTGTCCACCTCATGCAAAGAGTTGACTCACTGGAAAAGACCCTGATGCTGGGAGGGATTGACGGCAGGAGGAGAAGGGGACGACAGAGGATAAGATGGCTGGATGGCATCACCGACTTGATGGACATGAGTTTGAGTAAACTCCGGGAGTTGGTGATGGACAGGGAGGCCTGGTGTGCTGCGATTCATGGGGTCGCAAAGAGTCAGACACGACTGAGCGACTGAACTGATATGTATATGTGATTTAGTTACATATAATTTTAAGAAATAAAGCATTAGGATAAAATATTTTAAACCAGTACATAATTTTAAACGTAGTGATTTGTGGTCTTACAGAATATGGGACACTAAAAATCTGACATTGAACTATTAGATCTATACAACTCAAGTATGAGCACAAATTACATTATGAGAGAGAAATGAACTAAGTGTTTGGAAGGTTTGAGAAATTCAGTCTGAAGAGAAACAACTGATTGATATCTATCAGTTGAGTGAATACTTACTTCACATCACAAAGGACTAACTTGTGTATTTCCATGTGGATTATCTCATTTAGACCTCACAGAATCTTGCAGGACAGCATACGAGGCTCAGCAAGGCTAAGTGAATTTTCCAAGTTCAATTAACTAATTTGTAAAAGAGTCAGGGCTTGAAGCTGAGCCACCTGCTCATCTGAAATCAATTCTACAATATTTAATTAGAGTCTTCATTCCAGATTTTTGCATAACAGAGACATGAGAAGTCAACCCGAAATTTGAATCAACAGCCCACAATGTGGAGGATGAATGGGACAATTAGATTCTTAAATCTTGGGCTACAGTGATTTGTTATACTTTCATGAGATACAGGGTTCTCTGGTGTGCTATGTACATATTAGCTGTTTATATATATTTTCTATAATACTGGTAGTTCTTAATTTTTTCCATGAGTTTGGAAAAGCCTTGTCACCAACTCTACTGGTTTGCAGGATAGTTTAGGAGTAAGAGTGAGGCCATTTCTTCCCCTACTTTTATGGGCCAGTTAGTCAACCTTTCTAAGCTTCCTTTTGTAAACTAGGATAATAATAGCTAAGTTTATAAGGTTTCAGTGAGAATAAATGAGTTAGTGTAAATAAAATTTATAGGCACAATGTCTATAGTTGTGCCTGAACTGAGTAAGAATAAATAAGTGATAATTAATAGAAGTGTAGTGACACAGCAGTGGGCACTATGGATTCCAAAATGTTGAGGGACTGTATTTTCATTTCTGCTGTAACTTTTCACATCTTTAGCATTAACTCCAGTTTTCATAAATCTCCCTTCTCTGGTCCTAAGGTTCTTTTATATGGAATCAGTGTATAAACTCAAACTGATATTTATAAGGATGAAAAATAATATAAAAGGCTTCGTATTTATGTGGAGTGAGACTTACTACTCTTTTTATATAACATCCAAGCCATCAATAATTGATAAATATGCTAATTGGGCAGCATTCCATAGCTATGCTTAAAGCTCACATTTAAAATACTAGCTGCACATCTTTGAAAATGTAGAAATTAACTAAATTAATTTTTAATGTGAGGTATAGTAGAAAATATGCCAATTTAATATATGTAAAAAGTAAAGGATTTCAGAAGTAGCTTGGAAGTATCAAAATGATTTGATGCTACAGTCTGAATAATGTAAAATTCAAAATTGACTTTTCCAGCATAGCTGCTAGAACTGTGTGAAGAGAGCTCCCAGATCTCTTCTTTTGAATTTAGAAATAGAGACAGCAGGCTTTTCCTTTGTAACCCTTGATCAGTTCAGTTCAGTTGCTCAATCGTGTCCACATCTTTGTGACCCCATGGACTTCAGGATGCCAGGCTTCCCCGTCCATCACCAACTCCCGGAGCCTAGTCAAACTCATGTCCATTGAGTCGGTGATGCCATCCAACCATCTCATCCTCTGTCGTCCCCTTCTCCTCCTGCCCTCAATCTTTCCCAGCATCGGGGTCTTTTCCAATGAGTCGGTTCTTTGCATCAGGTGGCCAAAGTATTGGAGTTTCAGCTTCAACATCAGTCCTTCCAATGAATATGCATAACTGATTCCCCTTAGGATTGACAGGTTGGATCTCACTGTGCAAGGGACTCTCAAGAGTTTTCTTGAACACCACAGTTCAAAAGCATCAATTCTTCGGCACTCAGCTTTCTTTAGAGTCCTTGATGGTCCTTCCTTAATTACTAGAAGCATATCTTGAACTCAGGACTCACCATACTATTTTGACAGCCAGGATATTAAATTATCCTCCCCCTTGACATTTTAAAATAATACTTCACTAAATACTTGTGAATAATGGATTAAAAATTAAGTATTTAACTTAACTTTAAAGGATTGTGGTCTTCTATAATCCGGTTTCCCAGCAATGTCAAACTGGGATGGTTGGTAGAGGCAAACACTGAAAGAGCACCCAGAAATGTGAATCTTGGGGAAGGAGAATTCTATCCCAGGAAGTGATTCTCTCTCCAAAGCTAACCTTGGATGAACTGAGTGGCATTTTTAAAGGAAGCTGGTGTTTTTCATTATGACTTAAGAATAAAATCACATTACTGTGACTTAACACGGCCTTGCATGCAGTAGCTGCTCCAAAAATACTTATGGCCTTAAATATATTTAAATTCTCTTTTCTCCTTTGCTGGTGGAAATTTATTGCTATCTTATCCAGCTCTGGGAAAAGACATGAAAAGGACCCCAGGGGAACCTTTTAGGAACCTTTAAGGTAGCCAGCTCCACACACATCTAAGTGCAGAGTATACACCAGCACCACAGAGAAAAAGTTCACAGGAGATGGTGATGGGCATTTCACCTCCGTTTGTATCAGTCACCCAGAACCTGCCTTACTTCACCCTGAATTGCACATATTTCTTTCCTCTTTTTTTTTTTCACTCAGCTCCCAACCCTGGCTTTATTTTCTTATTTTGGAACACTTCCTTACGGGGTTGAATATTGCCCTTCCACCAAATTTATATGCTGAAGTCCTAACACCAGCATGTCAGAATGTGTCTTTATTTGGAGATGGGGGTCTTTACAGAGATCCTCAAGTTCAAATGAGGTCATCAATGTGGGTCCTAATCCAATATGAATGGAATCTTTATCAGAAGAAGGAATTTAGGCTCGGATACACACAGATGGAAGACAATATGAAGACAAATGGTGAAGACAGCCCTCTACCAGCCAAGGAGGGAGGCCTGGAATAGATCCTTCCATCTGGGCCTTCAGAAGGAACCAACCCTACTGACTTCCTGATCTTAGACTTCTAGACTCCAGAATGATGAGAAAACAAATTTCTGTTTTAACCCACTCAGACCACGGTTCTAGTTATGGCAGTCCTAGCAAACAAATATGGATTCACTTCTGTCCTCACGACAGATACTATTATGTATAGCTTCTCGGCCTGATGCTGGCTATCCTTACCTGCTTGGCACTCTCCATTCCCAGTCTGCAGATACTGCATCTTTGATCTGTCTATACTTCCATCCTCCACCTCCACCCCCAGGACCCAATCTTTTGGATCCTAGCTATGGTGAGGGAGAGCAGAAATGGATTTAGACCTAAGCAAAGAGGAGCTGCTGGAAGCTCACAAATCCAACCACTCCAGGTAGATAACTCAAAATTGGAACCTGTACTTCCCTTTAAAGAAGCACACTCCCAAAGGGATATAATTGTGAATCATCAAATACACCATGTTACTAGGGTTATAGAATTTTTGCTGTTTTTATTAAACAGTGCCACATATCAAGTTCGCTAGAGTGGGCTATAAGATTTTATCTTGAATCCTCTATACTAATATTTAAAGCAAAATTAAAAGTTCCAGGTTATGAAAAGTACAAAATGGGGATTTGCTGTGACTGTTCAGCCTGATTGATGTCATCAGCTAGATTTGGAGATCAATAAAAAGAAGTTTAGGTTGCCCGTAAACTTCCCAAGCTGAAGAATGTAAAAATAAATTTTCATTTTTTAATTAAGATCACATCTATCACGTCATGTCTTTTACACCATGGTAGAAGATGAAAAGCTGTGAGTCAAAGTGTGAAAAATAGATTTTTATAGAAGCCCAGCCAAATGCTGCAGGGTCGAACAAAGGCTTGATTCCAAACCCTTTCTGTGGTGGTTCGACGGAAGGATGACCTGGTAATTTTGTAATTTTATGAGCAGTCGGAATCAACTTTAAGAAAAACCACCAATTCTCTGTGGATCCAGAGAGAAGTGCTATAAAGAAATTTTGTTAACCATACTAACTAAAAATGTTTTTCTTTATGTAGACTTCAAAATGTTTAGGAAGAAATGAGTTATCTGTTAATATATAGTCACAGCATACATTTTGAACATAGGTATTTATCTGTTATAACCATGTAATTTATTTTCTACAGCCCCATTAAGGAATATAACACTTCTTAACAGGGAAGATTAAGCCAAAAAAAAAAAGAGAGATTCCAGGGACCAAGCTATCATTACGTCTCGTATAATACAGGTTTTCATAAGATATGCTCTACATGAAAGTTAACAGATCACTCCCAACTGCTCTTCCTCTCTTATGAGGCTGTGGGAGGTGTTTATTAAAAGCGGCAATATGTTTCTCTCTCTACAGCTTACTTAAATTGTTTTTCCAGAGTATCAAACACATTTGCAAAATTAAAAGCCTCCATATAAAAAATTCACTATGGTACTTCTTTTATGCCAAGAACTAAATCTTAGGCTTTAAGCTTTAGTTCAAAAGGAATATTTATCTCTCTGAAGGAAGTACAGGACACAGTGAGATAACTGCTATAATTCTTCAACCCTTTTGACTTCGCAAAATGGGCCCAGCCTTACATATTTTTATAATTAGCTTCAGTGAGGGAATCTTAAAGATTTTATATTAAAGAAATTAACAGGTCCATAGAGAAAATGATCAACTTAGATATTTTAAATATAAGATATGATCAAGAATTTCAGTGGCTCTAATTCACTCTGGTTCAATGAGACTGTGGTTCAAAATAGAGCCATTGGTTTAAGCAAAGAAGCCAATCATAGGATATCAGATCCCTCCAGTCTGGTCTTACTCCTGAGGGCTCAATGTGTTGGAGTTATGAGGCACTATAGGTTTTATCTAGCTAGGTGATCACAGGTCTGAATTTATTTTGAGATTTAGTATGTAACTCAGAGAATATTTATTAAGCACCTAATATGTGCCACACATTGTGCTGTGCACGGTAGATAAAGAAGTGAACAAGAAAACCCCAATATTTGCTCTTAAAAATCCAATATTGAAGACAGATGATTAAATAATAATTCCCTGTAAGAGGCAAACATTCTGTAGAACAGAACATCTAGAAGGACCTGATGCAGAAGTGATGGGTCAGGGTGGGCTTCTCAGAGCCTGAGTAAAAGACATCTAAGCTCACACTTGACGTATAAATAGCAGTTATCCAGGCAGGAATGCTGGCGGAGGAGTAAGGTGTGAGCAGGTCGGAGAGTGAGTGGCTAGACTCTGCTTGTGGGTAGAGTCTAGTAGGGAATGGGGGTGGGAAACCTGTGGAGGCAGCATCATGGTAGGCTCTGGAAACCAGGTTAAGGGGTACACGCTATCCAGTGGCAATGAGAAGCCACCAAAGGATTTCATCAGAGGAAGACCAGTCTCAGATTTATGTTTTAGGAAAATCACTCGACAGTGTGGCAGATGGACTGAAGGGCAGAAGGTACCACTGACAGCAGATGGACTAGTCAGGAGAGCTCGCAGTAAGCTGGGCTATAGTAGCAAGTGGGGATGATGAAGTGTCTCAGTGCCTGAGATAATTAGGAGAAGCATTCAAAGTGACCTATTGATTCCGGGGAATGAAGCAACAGACACAGTCAAGGTTGCCTCCCACCTCCAGCTTTCTGTCTTCATCAGAAATGTGAGAAAGATGCAACAGGAAGATGGGCAAGAATTCTTGTCTTATTGAAATACTAGCAAGACATGTCTCAGCAAATAGGAAGCCCTTTATAAAGAAGGCTTCCCTGGTGGCTCAGATGGTAAAGCGAATGTGGGAGACCCGGGTTCAACCCCTGGGTCAGGAAGATCCCCTGGAGAAGGAAATGGCAACCCGCTCCAGTACCCTTGCCTGGAAAATCCCATGGACGGAGGAGCCATGTATGCTACAGTCCACGGGGTCGCAAAGTGTCGGACATGACTGAACGACCTCACTTTCACTTTATAAAGAAGGAAGTATAATGCTACAAGAGCTTCCCAGGTGGCGCTAGCGGTAAAGAACTTGCCTACCAATACAGGAGACATAAGAGACGAGGGTTCAAATCCCTGGGTTGAGAAGATCCCCTGGAGGAGGACATGGCAACTCACTCCAGTATTCTTGCCTGAAAATTCCCATGGACAGAGGAGCCTGGCAGGCTACCTTCATAGGGTCAAAAAGAGTTGAACATGACTGAAGTGATTTGGCACGCACACAGTACGTAATTCTACAAATAGTTCAGAGTATTTTTTCTATTTTAGATGAAGGATGCCCTTCAAACAGTTAAGACCTGTATCACTGGATGTGTTTCAACCCTCATATGGGAGCAGCTGCTTATAGGCTACAGACAATTGAGAAATATTTATCTTTCTTTAATGTTTGTTCATGAAAATGTGAAATTCACTGTTAAAAGTCACACGGTTTCTCCCTGAGTAAATGAAAATTCTGTGCACATCTGCATTTGTTCACATTGTTGGGTTCCTAGAAGAGCTCAGGGACACCTGCTCACATTCTGATTGATGACTGAAGTTTATCCCGCCCCTAACTGTGAATTAAATATACAGCTGCTGGAAATGTCAGCAAAGTCACACAAAAGCAACTCTGATTCACTGCTGTTACACTATTAAATAATCAGTGCTCCTGTCACACTGAATTGGATGTAAAAGTGCTTTGTGGCTATTATTTCTGCTGGGAGGCATGCTGAAATGCCCCTTCTCTTTACCCATTAAAATCAATGGACCACATAGACACAGTGTAGATCCAGGTAACTGAACACATTGAATGAACTACCTTTTTTCAAATAGGCAGCTCAGTCTTCCCTGTTTATTCTGCAACGATTCTTGAATATCCTGGCTGATTATCATCAAATCCCCCCACTTGTGGCTCAGCTGGTAAAGAATCCATCTGCAATGTGGGAGACCTGGGTTTGGACCCTGGGTTGGGAAGATCCCCTAGAGAAGAGAAAGGCTACCCACTCCAGTATTCTGGCCTGGAGAATTCCAGGGCTTCCCTGGTGGCTCAGGCAGTATAGAATCCACTTGCATTGGGGAGACCTGGGTTCGATCCCTGGGTTCGGAAGGTCCTCTGGAGGAGGGCATGGCAACCCACTCCAGAATTCTTGTCTGGAGAATCCCATGGACAGAGGTGCCTGGCAGGCTATAGTCCACGGGCTCACGAAGAATCGGACATGACTGAGCGATGAAGCACAGCACAGCATGACCATATATACACTATCATGTGTAAACTGGACAGCTATCTATATAACAAAAGGAGCTTAGTCTAGTGCTCTGTGATGTCCTAGAGGGGTGGAATAGGGGGAGGGAAGGGAGGCTGGAGGTGGGGGTGGGGAAGAGGACTGGGGGTAGTGTGGGGAGGCAATATACATGTAATTATGGTTGATTTGCAGTGTTGTATGGTAGAAACCAACACAATATTGTAAAAATTTTAAAAAGAAAAAAACAACCCACACAAATAGAAAGGGCAAATTAAAACACTAATGTAGAAAACAAACTAAAAGACATAAGAACCAGGCTGATAAGCATGTCAGACTGTTCTCTTGCTGCCCGTGGCTTCAAAGCACTTTTCTATGTTATTTGCTTTCTTCATCCCAGAATAGTGAGACTATAATTCCCAGCTATATATTTATTACAGCGAAATTTCAGGTCAGCAGAACAATGTAGACCTCTGATACAATGCACTCTGGTGCATTATCTATGAATAAGCTCTTTTGGTGAAAGATATGACATAAAGATAAGACGTAAAGACTCCCTGGAGAAAGAAATAGCAACCCATTCCAGTATTCTCACCTGGGAAATCCCATGGACAGAGGAGTCTGTGGACTACGGTTCATGGGGTTGCAAAGAGTTGGACACAACTTAGCAACTAAATGTGTATGACATAAAGATAGTGAACTGTAAGATATTTACAAAACTCAAAATGGAAGTTCAAGGTTAAAATCTGCTGGATTTGCTGTGGAGCTGTAACTCTGAAGACTCAATATCCTTTCCAATACTCTAATCTACTGTAAGCATCTATGTAAATCACTGGTTTGGTCCAGCTTCTCCAGAATGTGTTTTACTCTTAATTAATTTCACTCACTTTTCTTTTTTTTTTTCCACTCATTTTTCATTTCAGGCCTGATACTCTATTTCTTATAGACAACAAACTCTAATTTGTCTTTGTGCAAATAAGAAATACACAACTGCATGTGAAGAGTGCAATTGATTCCAGAAGAGTACAGCATGTTCTTTGCTGACAGGAAGCACATGGGTTATAAATGTGTGCTCATTTGAACACAAGAAAAACAAAAGGCTTCTTTTTTAAAAAGAGAAGAAAGAAAGAACTTTGGGTACATGTCAAGATAGTTAGGCAAAGTCATTTACCGCTTAGTATTTCTGAGTGCTGAAGGTTTCACTTGAATGAGATTGTCTAAAGCTTGGCTGTTAAAAAGAGAAAAAACATAAACTCCGATTAGTAATAGGGTTTTTTTGTTTGTTTGTTTGTGCTAGGTCTATAAACCAGTATTATAAATCTGCTCCACTCAGGAGCAACAGACAGAAGAGCTATGAAATGACTGCTTTTATTTGATTACCTTTGATTGCTTCTGATCACTGCAGGATTCACTTTGATGAGGTTATCAAGATCCTGGTTTCTTTAAATAGAAAAATAAAAAGGTTAATTATAAATTCTTTTGGTAAGATCACTAAGGTTATAAATCTGCTTGAAATAACAGTAAAACAGAACATTCTTCCTACCCAAAATATAAAAATTAATACAGTTCTATTACCTTTGATTGTTGAGGAGAATTTCAGGATTCACTTTGATGAGCTTATCAAGATCTTGATTTCTTTAAGAGGAAAAAAAAATAAAGCAGCTTTTGTTAGAGATAATCCAGGTTTAAGTTGGTTGGAACTGGAAGAAGGGATTAGCTATTTTATCATTGGTTGTTGTTGTTATTGTCAGACTCTTTTGCTACCCCATGGACTGTAACCTGCTAGGCTTCCCTGTTAATGGGATTTCCCAGGCTGGAATACTGGAGCAGGTTGCCATTCCCTTCTCCAGATGATCTTCCCAACCCCAGGATCGAGCATTGGCAGGAGGATATTTTATCACTCAGCCAACAGGGAAACTCATCTATGAGACCTATTGGTTTGGCATAAAACGTACTTAAGATACATTTTCAACCAATCCAGGGAGGATACATTATGTAGGATTAGGAGAAAAATTACTCTAATTTCACACAGTTTGTTTTCAGAGCCCAGCTACCAGGGCACGCTGACTCAGAGTCCACAGCAAACGTCTTGTGATTCACCACTTTTACTCTGGAATGCTTTAACAGTACGAAGATACAAATGATTCCAAGGTCCTTGATATTTTAAAAATCATATTCACCAACTAACAATATCATTTTGTAAAAAATTAATAAGCTCCAAAACTGGGATCATACTTAACATAAGGCTTGGCAAAGAGAGTTCCAGAAATCCATCAAAATTGTGACTTCTCTTTCCTCTATGATGACTTAAAAAGCTGAAATCATGGTCAGATTAGGGACCTGCTCGGATAACCGTCCACTTCCCAGTTGAAACGCTATCACTTTCTTTCCTCAGTTAGAGAACATGGTTTGCTATCACTCATTGCATCCATATAATACTTTGTTTTTAAGGGCTGGAAATTAGTGATTTTTTTCTAAACCACTTTATAATATTTATCCAAAGAAATAGAGTAGCCTGCAGTGACAAGAAATCTTGGGCTTGATAACACCTGCTTCCAGTAAATTTTAGACAGTTACCTGCCTGTATCTCTTTCCCCTTCCAAAGTCCTTTTCCCTTAAATAAAAATATAGATTACTCTTCAAAAGTCTGATGGGAGATTAAGAACTAAAGGAGAACCACTTGGAGGTTAATCATCAAAAAGTCTGAGAAAACCTACATGGGAAAAGAATCTAAAAAAGAATGGTATGTGTATAACTGATTCACTTTGCTGTATACCCGAAACTAACACAACATTGTAAACCAACTATATTCCAATAATTTTTTTTTTAATCTGAAGAAAAGGTGTGCATTTCCCTTCCCAGCCCACAAGCCTTTCCATAAAATTTGCTTCCCAGCTCATGGCTTCACTGAGTTTCAGCTCTTATCCTTGTCCTCAGATCTCCATGGCAGACAAAAAGCCCTTAAATGAATTTTCACTGTTTTGAATTATCTTCACTAATAATATTCTCAATTAAAGATAATCAACTGATGTCTACAAACAGTATGAAAGAAATGACACATATGAGAATTATCAAAAATATAATTTTCTTGTATAAACTGGTTACAAAATCTGTGTAAAATTAAATTGTGCTTGAAAGACAATCTTTAAAATGGTGATTATTCGTACATTAAAAGAAAAAAAGTAAAAGGATTAGATTTTTTTAGAGGAAATAATATGTTCAAAGGCCTCAACTTTTTTTTTTTTTAGGCCTCAACCTTTTACTACATAAGATCAATTGCAATATTTTTTGTGTAACTACATATAATTTTCACCTACCAGCATAATTAAGAGTAAATTGTATAAAAATGTGAACATAAACATGAGAACTTCCTTTTTTACTCTTCTGCCCAGGACAGAAAACTTGGTTCATTGCAAAACTTAGAACTATGCTATATCATAGAACTGTTTCATAGTTCTATAGTTCTATTCATAGTTCAAAGAATACTCTATCCTAGAACTCATTAAAAAATACATTTTACATCATAGCTCAATACTTCACCTTTTCAGTCAATCAGTCAGACAGACATACACACATAATAAAATATAAACTTCACAAAGTAAGACTATGTAAGAAGAGCTCTCATTTTCTACTCTGTTTCACCGTAGATAATTGGGGGCGAAATGCTGACTGCCAGTCACTAAATTAATTACCAGACCATTTAATGGATTGTGGTCTACAATTTGAGAAACACCAGCTTAGAAAACATATAAACACATGCTATGATTTACCACTTCTCCTAAAAAGACAACACCTGTGTTAATAAAGAAAGTCCTGAATTGCCTTGATTGACAGTATCATGCAACTTATCTCAATGAATTGAAAACTTATAGACACTTTTTTCAGGCCCTGGATTCTTAAAAAACACAGGAATCTGATATCTGAGTTTTATCTAGAAAAAAAATGTTATGTTTTTCCTACTCAAGTTACTGCTTTCATTTATTTTGCTTTAAGGATATAGGGGGATACATTGGAACATTTAGCTATCATTACTTTTATGTGGGTCTCCCAGGTGGTGCTAGTGATGAAGAATCCACCTACCAATGCAGGAGATACAAGAGACGTGGGTTCGATCCCTGGGTGGGGAAGATCCCCTGGAGGAGGGACAGCAACACACTCTAGTATTCTTGCCTGGAGAATCCCATGGACAGAGGAGCCTGGCGGGCTACGGTCCATAAGGTAGCAAAGAGTCGGACACGACTAAAGTGATTTAGCACGCACCCACTTTCATGTAGTTCAAAAGTTATGAGGTGTTTTGCGGTCATTGGCATAAATTTGTGCCATAGTCACTTCAAAGACAGAAGTAACATTTCCAATGACCCTGTGAAAGCAGTGGAGAGCATTCCCTAGTTGTCCCATGGCAAGAGCAAAAGGCCTAGCTTTATAATTTCCACTATTTCCAGAGGTGCTAAATCAACTTTCATTTATTAAGATCAAAGCCTGTGAGCTTTGACTTAAAGACCAGAAGCTGGGCTGGGAGTTGGAAAGCTATGAGATATTTGCCCCTGACCTTGGTCTTCTCATCTGTAAAATGAGAAGATTGGATTGTGCCTAATCCTCTGCCCATCTTCTACTCCTAGGAACTATGAATATGAATTTTATTGGTTGTCATATTTATTAAGTTAGCTATTTCATTTCTCCTTTTCTTTTTAAATGCAACTCACTGACAATACATTCTATATTCAGCAAGCAGTACATGTAATATTTTAAATTGACAACCTATTATTGTCTTGGAGTCCCATCTCTGTGCCCCAAGTACATAATTAGCTTTAATCTATGATAATTGCCTGCTGTTAATAAGATTGAGTATGTCTACTGAATTCTCTTTTTTGGCACCCACGGCCTATAATTATACCTAATGTGCACCTAATGATACCTAGTTGTAAGCTTCAAACCCAGTAGGTGTTCAGTAATTATTCACTGCCTAACAGATCACAGAACCACTATTCCATCTTCCACTAGTTTTCTCTGTGACCCTGGCCAAATCATCTAACCTTTCTGAGTCTTAATTTCCCCTTCTGTAAATTGAATAGGTTTGACCGGAATGTGAAAAGTGAAAGTTGCTCAGTCGTGTCCGACTTTCTGCAGACCGCATGAACTGTAGCCCACCAGGTTCCTCTGTCCATGGGGATTCTCCAGGCAAGAATACAGGAGTGGGTAGCCATTCCCTTCCCCAGGGGAATCTTCCCAACTCAGGGATTGAACCCAGGTCTCCCGCACTGCAGGCAGATTCTTTACTGTCTGAGCCCCCAGGCCCTGCTTTAACTGGGATAGTGGTTCACAAAATTGTTCAAATAACTGGGCTATGAGTTTTCTGAGCTTCCTTCTTTCCATCTCCAAAATCTGTGATTTTTTTTATGTACCAGATAAACTCAAAAAAGTGAAATCACAAAAACATTTTAAAATATGTATATATATCTATAATAGTGGCATATAGTGATATAAAAATCTAAATATATATAATATTACATATAAATATATAATGTAAATATATACATATGTCTATAATAGTAGTGTATAATGATATAAAAATCTCCATAAACCGGAGGCAAAAACTGAATTTCATTTTTCATCATCACAGATACTACTTAAAGAATTATCATTTTAGGTCCATTGCTTTGCTAGGAGCAGCAAATCATCTAAAAAATAATGAACCTCATAAAATTTCCACCAACTATCAAACACTTTCTAAAAATGAGATGAATAAAATTGCTTATAATTAATCTGGATGAGGTGTCCAGCTCTTTTTCAAAAATTAACAACCATTAACAAATTTTAATCAAACCTAGAAACAAAGGTATTGCCATCAATACTACAAATCATAAACAGGACATAGGCTAACTATGTTTCTACCCCAGTCACTCCCTTCAATTGCTTTATCTGAGCTGTCTTTCTATTAGCAAATACATATCTAATTTTTCAGGGATATATAAAATTCATGATGACTTTTCAACATTTACATTCAGTTTGCCCATGGAATGATTTCAAGTTATTTATATTCATATTATGCTTAGTTAAGGAGAAACAAACCAAAGCAAATAAATAACATCTTTGTCTTACCTAGCGGTGTTTTTGACAGCTTTGGGGCTTACATTAATAAGTTTATCAAGACCTTGTTCACTGCTAAAACAAAATAAAATAAATGGTCAAATGCAATTGGAAATCAGCAAATTTTATGACTGGTGTTTTTTCTTTTGACATTTGTGAATTCTTTGATGGGATCCTAGACAAAAAGTGATAAATGTAATGAGTTTCTACTTTGTATAAAATAGTTATCTTTTTTAAATCCTCAAAGCAACTGAGTTAAATATCACCATTCTCTTTTCATAAATAAATAGAGTTGCATGAACGTTAAGGCCTTCCTTAAGCCAAGTACCTAAGCAATAACTGAGGGTGAATTAGGTAACCACACGTTGCCTCCTGCCCACTTCCTTCCTCTCTCTGTTCACAATAATTCCTTACAACTGCACAAGGCTTTTCACCAACATTATTATCACAATAATTCCGAGAGGTAGCTTGGAGTTACTCTGTCATGCCTTTGTTAACTTTTACTCCAGTGGACAATGAGTCTTAACTTCTTAAGAAGACAGGAGCATATCCAAAGTCTTACAGAAATATTTCTAATCAAGTATTGGAATGTTATGTCACCAAATTTCTGAAGAGTCATTTAAAAATTAATCCTTAGGTTTATGAAAGAGAATAAAGCCAATATTCTTTGGTTTATTCAGTTTTATGAACTTATAATTTATTAACTAAATTTGCAGTAATAATCTAGTTAAGCTATAATTGCATTAAATGAATTTCTCAGGTAGTCATTATACAGAATTAACTTCAATATTACAATTTGAACAATATTATAATGTAACAAATTGAAGCAATATAAAAACCTATCCAGGATTATTACATGTCAGCAAATCAATGTTTCTCATTTTTTTCATATCCCCTTTCAAACATCCCTAGCCAAATAATTAACTTTATTCTGGGGCATAAATTGAAGACTTGCTCATGACTCTTCAACAATATTAATAAACTTACCTTTTCTTTGCTGAGGAAGTCACTTTGATAAGATTGTCTAGGTCTTGGCTCCTAAAAAATGTAAATTTTAATAGCTAGTAAAATCAAATCATATCAGTTACAATTTGTATATTTTTTCAATCTTAATATTGAATAAAGTGATTGTTGCTAATTCAAAACTTCATTTTACTTGAATATTCTTTTTAGTTCTCTGTGAAAGCAGATAGCTACTATAAATTCATTTCTTATACAACTACATATATATGAAAATTTATTTTTATTCTTATTCCTTTCAAGACAACCTTAAATTTAAGTTGCTCTTAAATTTCTTATTTCCTAGATTGTATTTGGTACTAGAATCAGCATTTAGAATTTGTTTCGAGGTTGTAATGAACAAGAGAAAAATTTGAATTGTACATCGTTTCCATGTGTTTCTTGCTTCCCTCTCCTCAGGATAAAATAAAACAAAAACCTGGGACTTTTTAAAAAAGAGTGTATTTCCTGATTCTAAGGTATGGAGGTATTCATACATAATATGAATATGTAACATTGAGGCTACTCCAAGATATTAAACAATTCAGAATCATGCTTCATGCAATGCTATATCAGAGCAAAGAAGACTTCTGACAATAAAATTTGCTTTTTTACTCAAATAGGCGATAATAGCTCTAAAAGGGGGCTTTCCCTGTGGCTCAGTGGTAAAGAACCCGCCTGCCAATGCAGGAGACAGGTTTGATCCCTGGGTCGAGAAGATGCCCTGGAGAAGGAAATGGCAACCCACTACAGATTATTGCCTGGAGAATCCCATGGACAGAGGAGCCTGGCGGGCTACATACAGTTCATGGGGTCGCAAAAGAGTCAGACACAACTTGGTGACTAAACGGCAACAATCTCTAAAAAGACATTTCTGTTATTGCAATGGGCTTTCATATCAGCTCTAACATCAAAAGGCCTAAACAAGATATATAACTTGATATACATTATTATTGGACAATTTGCTACATATCCTGAAAAGAAAAGAGACCAGAAAGGCTTCTATAACCTAACTAATCTTTAGGATTAACCTATAAATGAATTTCATCATGTTCATATCCTTCCATGTAAATTATTGCATTCTGTTATATTGAATTATTTGAAATTGTCATCGGCTGGGTCAAAAATTGTTGAATGTCAACAATTTCATAAGATTCAACCTAATAGATAACTTCTTAGGCATCTTGCTTGAACTAAGCATTGAGTGGTGCAATGGGGACTCAACAATGAAGAAAAGCAGTAACAGTAATAATAATACCAATAGATAATGTCTAATAAATACTTGGGGAATAAATGCTTCATAAGCTAATTTTTCTGGTAATTCATTGAAGAAGGTAATTCTTACAATCCCCACTTTACAGATAAAGAAGTTGAGAATTCAAGGAGGTGAAATGATTTGTCCAAGATTATACATCTATAAAGACTTTGACTGTGTGGATCACAAGAAACTGTGGAAAATTCTGAAAGATATGGGAATACCAGACCACCTGACCCACCTCTTCAGAAACCTGTATGCAGGTCAGGAAGCAACAGTTAGAACTGGACATGGAACAACAGGCTGGTTCCAAATAGGAAAAGGAGTACGTCAAGGCTGTATATTGTCACCCCGCTTATTTAACTTATATGCAGAGTACATCATGAGAAATGCTGGGCTGGAAGGAGCACAAGCTGGAATCAAGATTGCTGGGAGAAATAGCAATAACCTCAGATACGCAGATGACACCATCCTTATGGCAGAAAGGAAGAGGAACTAAAAAGCCTCTTGATGAAAGTGAAAGAGGAGAGTGAAAAAGTTGACTTAAAACTTAACATTCAGAAAACTAAGATCATGGCATCTGGTCCCATTACTTCAGGGCAAATAGATGGGGAAACAGTGGAAACAATGGCTGACTTTATTTTTTGGGCTCCAAAATCACTGCAGATGGTGATTGCAGCCATGAAATTAAAAGACGTTTACTCCTTGGAAGGAAAGTTATAACCAACCTAGACAGCATATTAAAAAACAGAGACGTTACTTTGCCAACAAAGGTCCGTCTAGTCAAGGCTATGGTTTTTCCAGTGATCATGTATGGATGTGAGAGTTGGACTATAAAGAAAGCTGAGTGCCGAAGAATTGATGCTTTTGAACTGTGGTGTTGGAGAAGACTCTTGAGAGTCCCTTGGACTGCAAGGAGATCCAACCAGTTCATCCTGAAGATCAGTACTGGGCGTTCATTGGAAGGACTGATGTTGAAGCTGAAACTCCAATACTTTGGCCACTTGATGCGAAGAGCTGACTCATTGGAAAAGACCCTGATGCTGGGAAAGATTGAGGGCAGGAGGAGAAAGGGATGACAGAGGATGAGATGGTTGGATGGCATCACTGAACTGACTCAATGGACATGGGTTTGGGTAAACTCTGGGAGTTGGTGGTGGACAGGGAGGCCTGGCATGCTGCTATTCATTGGGTCACAAAGAGTCGGACACAACTGAGGGACTGAACTGAACTGAACAGCTAACAGATAGTCTCTAAACTAAAAAATTTTACTACCAAATGGAAGAGATGAACACATGATGTAATGCAAGACATGGCAGAGGGCAGGTGCTGAAATAAGGCTCACACATATTGCATGGGAAAGGTCGTATTATTAAGGCTTTCTTCACTTTACAAACTAAGTCATCTTGGAAGAGGGACAAGGGATAACTGTCTTTCATAGAATCTTAATCTGTAACATAAAGTATTACATGGTCTCTGGATTCGTTATCTGACCCTCAGACAGTGACGATACATTATACTTGCATTTAGTGAACAGAATATAAGGACAATTTAGAACTCAATATTCAAATGAAAGAATGATAAGTCCTTTGGTCTAAATATAAAGTGAATGAAGCAATATATGCAATGGAGACTGAGTTTTGGAAGTTGTTCCAAGTACTTGCAGGGTTGATCCTCTTCACCCACCCATATGAAATACTGCCTAGGAATCAGCAGTCTATGGTCCTCCAGCTAAATCCAGCCTGAAGTCTGATTTTACAAATAAAGCTTTATTCAGACATAGCCATTCCCATTCCTTTACAATGTGTTATTAATGATCGCTAGTTTAAAGACTGTTTTGGGCCCCTATACCTGAAATTTTATTCCCTAGCCCTTTAAGCAAAAGTTACTGACTCCTGACCTACTCTAGTAAACTTTATATGATAGCTATCTACTGTTAAAATAGAATACCTAGAAGCAAAGTAAGATAGAAAACTCTGTGAGAGAGAAGATACATGCTTTGGTACCTTTTATTTTTAACTCACATTCAAACTAGCATAACAATATGTGTTTATAGGTTCATGGTTTGGCTATATCGCTTTGTTTACTCAACACAGTGTACCTTAAAAAAAATTCTTTTTTGTATTCTTTATTATTTCAATGAACTAACTATAATTTTTTTAAATGACCCCCCAACTTTAGGAATTATTGGAGTGTAAATGGAAGAGGAAAGGGAAAAAATGATGACGGATGGAGGACGAATGAAGGAGATTTTCTTTACATGAAGACCTTCTCTTAGGCTGCTTATCTGTAGGAGATTGTTTGGGGAAGATGCTTCATCCCAGGAGGAATCTCGATTTATTTTGAGGAAATCCCAAGCATGGAAAACAAATCCCACATGGATAAGAGATCATTCTCATATTTTAAGGAATTCCTCCACAAATATTCACAGCCAGGGATCCCTGAATAAAGGAATTGAACATTAGGTTTCTGACACAGAGCTATTGTTTTGGGTCCCATTACTGGTGGTTTCTTTGATAGAACAAACAGTTTTATCATATTTTCTAAGTTGAACAGAATAAAATGGAGAAATAGAAGAGTTCCATAAACCTCACCCTTGGTTAGTTTTGTTTGTTTCCGGAGTCACTTTGATGACATTGTCAAGACTTTGGTCCCTTTAAGACATGGAAGAAAGGATGAGATCATATGACAGGTTACATCAAATTGTTGAAAATATTTACAAAAATGGAAAAGCATTTTTATTACAAAATATTTTACTAGAAAATATTTATTAAAATAGAGATCATCTCAAGGGATTGGAGGTTTTCAATGTTGACTCTGAAAATATATATTTGGACCTAACTATAACCACATGGAAATAATGAACAATAATTAGTGGTTTCAGAAAATTCATGATGTGCCAGGCACTGTGCTAAGTGATTTACGTGATTTATATAATTTAATACTCATATCAACTATATGAAATAGTATAAAAATGTTAATAAACTGAAACCTTAATGAAATAGAGTTGGGAGACCATCATGGGGGCTCTCTCCTGCCCTGTGAGAGTAGCAGAAACCAGCAGGACGAGGAAAGACTTTTCTTCTTTCCTGGCAAGGACTCAGCCAGTGAAAAGCTGTGAACTCTTTGCTTACTGTAGTCCTCCCAGTATCCTTTCCCCCCTCCCCTCTATAAAAGTGATCTTTCTTCTTCTTCAGGGACTTGCATGTGGCTCCCCATGGTTGCAGACCCCAAACTACAATTCTCTGATGATATGAGCAAATCCATCTTGGCTGGAGAAATATCTGACAGTCTATTTGTTTCAGGTCAACAATAGGAAGTATCATCATCTCCATTTCAGAAAAGGAAAAGCTGAGACCCACAAAGATGAAGTTTTGCCCACATGGCCTGTAGTGGCAAGGCTGGAATGGAAAGCTTTGTAATTAACTCCAGAGTGTGCACATTTATCATAACACCAACCAGCTTATTGGAAATTATTAACTGAATTGACATTGGAAGTGACAAGGGAACATCTGGCCCAATTTCCTCACTGTGAGGATGAGAAACCAAAGTCCAAACAGGAGTGTGATCAGGCCCATTTCTCACTGTCAGGGAGGGCAGAGTCATGCCCAGACCCACATCTCTGGGCTCTGGTCTGATGCTCTTTCCTCTCTCTTGTGCCATCCCTCTGCTTAAGAAAAATAAACAAATCAACCAATAAAAGTGTCCTGACCACTACTGTTTGGAATAGGGAACTCTGCTCTATGTTATGTGATAGCCTGGATGGGAGTTTGAGGGAGAATGGATACATGTATATGAATGGCTGAGTCCCTTTGCCATCCACCTGAAACTATCACAACATTGTTAATCAGCTATACCTCAATACAAAACAAAAAGTTTTAAAAAAACAAATAGTTAACTGATTGCAAATAAAAGACTATACCCAGTAAACCGTCATTCCCCTGAGCCCTCGACAGCCAAACACTTTGTTTTCTTGGTTGCCAGTGGATTTGCCATTCTGGACATTTCAGATAAATGATATTTAATTGTGGGAAAAAAAAAAGTGTCTTGTCCATCCTGGGAAAACACTGCACCTAATGAATCAAAATACCTACATTACATTAGAAATTGGCTAACCAAAATCTTTAACAGCTTATATATGAGGTGGTGCAGGTTACATGGTTTTTCTTGAACAACCATTGATACATTGATACTATAGCAGTGTCAGTCTGCTGAAATGATGATTTAAGTATGTTTTTAAGCATTGGTTAACATGAAACAAAAAAGAGGAATGTATTAAATCTTACCCTTGCGCACTTTTCCCAGTTCTTGGGTTCACTTTGATGAGGTTATCCAGGTCTTTGGAACTTTAAACAAAAAGAAACACAATAAGTAAAAATGAAATTATGTCAACTAATTAAGTCAAACTAATTACTTTAAAGGATATATGTGCTCACGATGAATTTTACAATTAAGTTTTGAGAGAAATCAATACCAGTCTACGTGTTTCACTTAAAAGAGTAAAACTTTTGATTTTCATTGGTATCAGTGTCCTATATACCCTCAAAATAAAACCATAAAATTAGGGCAAGAGTGAGTTTAAAAGATCATCTCTGCAACTATTTGCCAAAAAATCTCACCCTGTCAGCCCCATTTAGTATTCTACCTGATGCAATAGCTATAATTAAACTGTGTTCTGTTAATAATTTCCATTTAAAGGGATTTAAATGGAAATCTAAACACTTTTGGATTTAAACACTTTTTTCTTTAAAGGAATTCTATATCCATTATTTCACAGGATCTTTATAATAATCAAATGACAAAAGTGGAACAGACATTATGATCTTCATTTTATAACTAAATAAGTCTCAGCTTAGTATTCAAGGGACTTGCTCAAACGTACCCAGCTGATAAGTCGTGGAATTCAGATATTTTGACTTCAAACCACTTTTCAACACAGCTTCTCTAATGAGAGCCACAAACTGATTCAAAACTTGATGCACAAATTGATGGGAAGGAAGAAAGATAAGGTATAATCCTCACCTTGGGTTACTTCTGTTAACTTCAGGGGTCACTTGGATGAGATTATCAAGACTCTGGCCCCTTTAAAACATAGAAAAAATAGTAAAGTTAATAATAGATTACAACCAAGTTGATAAAACTATTCATTAAAACTCAGAAACAGTGTAAACATTAAGATCATGCCAAAGAGCTGAAGATTGTTAAAGGCACACAGAAGTAAGTAAGGATTTATACATCTCTGCAACTCACTGAGACTCAGAGGGACAATATTTTAATCTTGGAGCCATCAGGCACTAGCAAACACTGAGATAGGACTCTGCTTTGATTCTTTGAATGCTATGCCCTTAGCCTTTTCCAGGGGCTCTAAACATAGTAATGTAATATGTAATAGTCTGTAATAGTCTGTGTACATGTTCCTGGAACACTCCACAAAGCCAACTCTATCCATCAGCTTCCAACATGCTGTGGGAATTTTGAACTTTGGAGAACCTTTATTTTGTAAAATTGTCAGCCGTTAGCAGATTTTCTATTTAAACACTGGATTTAGATAAGTGTACCCTGAACATTCATTTGAAGGACTGATGCTGAAGCCAAAGCTCCAATACTTTGGCCACCTGATGTGAAGAGCCAACTCACTGGAAAAGACCCCGATGCTGGGAAAGAGTGAAGGCAGAAGAAGAATGAGGTGACAGAGGATGAGATGGTGGGATGGCATCACCGACTCAATGGACATGAGTCTGAGCAGGCTCCTGGAGATGGGAAGGACAGGGAAGCCTGGCATGCTGTAGTCCATGGGGTTGCAGAGTCAGACATGCATGACTCAGCAACTGAACAACAATAACAAGAAGCAATTTGTTAAAGTCCACAATATACAATCTGTTATCTCCTGCTGGTACCTACTGTGTATTAAAACTACAAATTTTGACTGGTTGTGTTGGCAATAAACAATAAGAAGATTAAAATCTATCAACTTTTGAAATGTAAGTTACAATGTAAAACTGTAATGTAAAACACCATGTAGTCACTGAGAATGACTCAATATTTTACAGTTACCCTTTAGGATATGTGCTTCTGATCTTAATGGGATTTTTCTTTTTCCTATTGCTTCTACATGTGTTTTCCACATTCCCAGTGCCAGCCAATGTGCCTCTGATCTACAGAGGATACCATATGGGTAAAGAACATCCATAGAAGGCGCATTTACACCCTGTATCCCCATACCCCGTGGCTCCACTAAGATCAGATCATAAAGTCTCCAAGGTGGTATCAATGCAACATCAAAGATACAGATATCTGGAAGCAGCTAGCTAGATGCTGACTCAAGTTCTTACTTATTTCCAGATGTCTGAGAATGTGCACATCCATGCTAAAAGCAGCAATAAAAAGTTTGAACCTTTTTCATGCAAGTAATGAAATTGTTAACCCCCCCAAAAAACAACTATTCTACCCCAGAATATCCTATGTTGATTTTTTTAACCCTTTGTGGCCTAAACAAAATATGTGGAATTTGAATGCCAGTGACTGAGAAAAAAAGTATTCCCAGGATTCTGTTTCTAGTATGTTGTGTACTAGAAACAGTAGTACTCATTTGAGTACTCAAGAAGAAATCCCACAGCATTAAGCATTGCAACTCCTCCCTTGTAATATCTGTGTTGTTTCTGTTGGAGACTTTAATCTCTTTATTTTGAATAAAGTACACAGAGGGTTGTGTAAATTTTAAGGTTCATAAACTCAATAAAGAAGAATGTGCTAGTTAAAGTGTAATGGAAAATAATATTTTGAGCTCCACGGTGGAAAGCAGTGCCTCATAGTGTATATTTCTTCAATATTTATGCAGTCTTTCAATCCACAAACAGTTACAGAAAGCCTACCATGGCCCCAAGTGCTGGGATAGCTGTGAACAATACAGACAGGCTTAAACCTAAAGAAACATCCATTCCAGTACTTTCCTGGTGGTCCGGTGATTAAGAATCTGCCTGCCAATGCAGGGGACACTATTTCCATCCCTGGTCTGGGAAGATCCTACGTGCTGCAGGCAACTAAAGTGAAAGTGAAAGTGAAGTTGCTCAATCACGTCCAACTCTTTGCGACCCCATGGACTATAGCCTACCAGGGTCCTCAGTCCATGGAATTTTCCAGGCAAGAGTACTGGAGTGGGTTGCCATTTCCTTCTCTAGGGGATCTTCCCAACCCAGGGATTGAACCCAGGTCTCCTGCACTGCAGGCAGACGCTTTACTCTCTGAGCCAGCAGCGAAGCCCGCAGGCAACTAAGTGCGCCGCAATTACTAGAGTTTGGCGCTCCAGAGCCCACAAGCCACAAGTACTAAAGCCCACAAGCGTAAGGCCCGTGCTCCACAACAAGAGAAGCCATCACAAGGAGAAACCCATGCACTGCACCTGGAGGGTAGGCCCCACTCCCTGCAGCTAGAGAAAGCTCACGTGCAGCAACAAAGACCCAGTGCAGTCAAAAATAATAAATTAAAACAAGTAGATTTTAGAAAGAAGCTTCCATCCTAACTTGGCGAGAGGCAGGCCACATGCAATCAAACATATAAGTGAATGCTACAATTCTAGATAATAACATATGGTACTAAAAATCAGTGCCAGGTGCCTGTGATGCTAGGTTTGGAGAAGGGTGTGGTGATGTAATTATATTCACTGGTTAGAAACAATCTCTTTGAGAAGGTAACAGAAGTGTTAACGCAGGAGTGAGGCTGGATAGAAAAGAGGTAAGTTTGGCTGGACTTTACTGAACACGTAAAAGGCCATTGCTCAAGTTTAGAACTTAATTCTACCTGAATTAAGAGAACTTTGGAAGTTTTTAATAGGGGAGGGAGACAATCTTATTTTATTTTTAAGAGATCCACAGAGTTTAATGGTGCTTGGTGAAAGGGAAAAAAGAAGACCACTGCCCTTAAATCTCCCAGGAAGCACACACATACAAATACACAAATAGACACAAAGACTGCAACACTCTTACACACATATACACAATCGTGCACATAGGTACTTAATATACATACAAAAGCACATGGATATATTCACACATATATTCAGGCACACACAAGCATTTGTACATATGTATACAATCACACATACGTCTGCACATACATGCATACACTCATATGCATTCACACATGTAGACACAAATGTATGCATTCACACAAGTATACATATGTGAATGCATACATTTGTGTGTGTGTGTGTGCAAGTGTACACATAGGCAAACACATACACACACACCCCCCTCAACCTATGAAAAACAATAGGTAATGATTTGAAATACTCTCTTTAATAAAAATTAGAAAGGTAAAACATAAATTTTTCTTGTAGAATCAAAGTAAATTAAGTATTTAAAAGTATCCAAATCATTGCTGTTGTTTAGTTGCTAAGTCATGCCCAACTCTTTGCAACCCCATGGACTGTAGCCTACCAGGCTCCTCTGTCCCTGGGATTCTCCAGGCAATAAAACTGGAGGGGGTTGCCATTTCCTTCTCTGGTGGATATTTCCAACCGAGATCAAACCTACATCTCCTGCACTGGCAGGCAGATTTTTACCGCTGAGCCACCAGGGAAGCCCCATCTAAATCATTAAGAAAACATAATTCACGTGAATCTTTATTATTGCTATTAATTATTTATCTCCAATGTGCCAAATGTGATAGTATTATGATCTCTAAATTGACACATGGGGCAAGTGACACAGCCAGAATTTGAACCCTGATTCTTTAGACTCCCTGCTCCCTTTCACTGCCTCAAGCTCCCTCCCTGAAACACCTAGGTAACCAGGGAAATCAGTGTTTTCTTCTCAGTTTATTAGCTGCAAAAAACTGCACATGTCTGTAACTCGACGAGTCACTGAGTCTGCAACCACACCAGCATTGCTGAGAATAGGACGGCCTGACAATGCACACCAGCTTTCAGCCAGCCGGGCCCTGGCTCTGACGGGGCCTGCAGGCATTAGTGACACATTTTAGAATCAACTCATAATATCATGTACTGAGTGAACGGAATGGAAAGAGGTTCAAAAGAAACCACATGGAATTACTTGGTACGCTTCTCAGTAACATGACAACAAGCTCAGTTTCAGATATGTTCCATCTGTTTTTTAAAAAATAAAAAAAAAAAAGCAAGAGGACATAAGCTTTCCAGATTTCCTTGGCAATTCATGGGTAGGGCAATTCTTTTGCAAAGCACACTTTGTTAACCTCTTCATCTTTAAACATACATTGCACAACATACATATATACACACTGCACACAAATATAGTAAACATGCACACACGATCTGTACATAAACACATTCACACACACTACTTACACACCCACAAGATACACTTATTTATATACACTACACATACATACATGTACACTTATACACACATACTACTTATATACACACATATACATTTATATATATATAAATATACACACTGTGATGGGCTTTCCTGGTGGTTCAGATGGTAAATAATCTGCCTGCAATGCAGGAGACCTGTGTTTGATCCCTAGGTTGGGAAGATTCCCCAGGAGAAGGGAATGGTATACACTCCAGTATTCTTGCCTGGAGCAGTCCAAGGACAGAGTAATCTGGTAGGCTACAGTCCATGGGATTGCAGAGAGTCACACGGCTGAGCAGCTAACACTTTCACTTTCATATCCACACTGTGATGGTTAATTTCACATGTCAGCTTGACCAGGCCACAGGGTACCCAGATATTTGGTTAAATATTATTCCAGGTGTGCTGTGTGAGGAAGTTTGGGGATGGGCTTAACATCTGAATCTGTAGACTGAGTAAAGCAGATGGCCATCCCCAACATGGGTGGGCCATGGCTATTCAGTTGAAGGACTGAATAGAACAGAAAGGCTTAAGTAAGGGGAGACTTTGCCTGCCTGAGTGCTTGACTTAAAACATTGCTCTTGTCTTGCCCTTGAATTGAAGCTTAAACATGGGCTCTCCTGGTCTAAGGCCTTCAAACGAACTGGAACTACACAACTGGTTGGGTCTCCAGCTTGCCAACAATAGATCTTGGGAACTCTCAGCATCCATAAGGGTATGTGCTAATTCCTTATAATAAATCTCTCTTTCTACCGGTATATTCTACTGTTTTGTTTCTCTGGAGAACCCTGATTAATACATACTCATACACATATCAACACACTTATATATACACACATACATTTATATATAACACACTTTTTGTATCTTTAATAAATAAAATTCACTTAAAGTATATTTTTTTAAACTTTTGATTTATTTTATATTGGAATATAGCCAATTAACAATGTTGTGATAGTTTCAGGTAGACAGCAAAAGGATTCACCATACATATACATGTATCCCTTCTTCCTCAACCTTCTCTCCCAACCAGGCTGCCACATAACATGGAGCAGAGTTCCCTGTGGTATACAGTAGGCCCTTGTTGGTTATCCATTCTAAATATAAAGTGTGCATACATGACATTACTATTTACACTGTACATACATATACATGCTCACACACACACACATACACACAAAGAAATAAATACTAGATAAGGGTAGTCAAATTCCCATTAAATTTCTCAAAATATACCTTATAGCAGATGCCACCTGAGAATAAAATGCAAGAGGTCACTTCTGTGTATCAGTCATATAGAATTGCCTAATATGATGTATTTGGGAAAAAACAGTTCAGTTTGGTTTGAATTCCTATTTGCTCTCCTGAATGCAAGTACTCAGAATTCCAATGAGTTTATAAATGTCAAAGAGAAATGAAAAGCTTTAACTTACTTACCTCTTAATATTTTTATTTGTTTCAGGATTTACTTTAATAAGCCCATTGAGGTCTTGCTTCCTTTGAGTAAGGAAATGAGTTTAATGAATGTCATTAAAATAAAACACTAATCAAGTGAACAATGATTGGAAAAATTAAGAAGCGATAAAATACACACATTCTATACCAATGTAATTTTCAAAGCTGTAAATGCAAATTAAAATTCTTCTCTCATATCCTGAGCTAAAAACCATTTAAGTTTCTTAATTTATCAACAAGAAACTTAGCATGTTTCTGTTTTATTCTCAAAATGTGTATGTATACATTAAATTACTTGCTATTTAACAAAATCCACCTTGCCCTCAGATACATCTTATTAGAATATCCCAGATGGGTGGCACTGAAGTAATGTAAGTTATTAATAAAGTTCTATACTGGATACAGATATAATGTAAATTTCCATCTAATAAATCAGATATAAATGCCTGTTCTATTTTTACATGACAATAACAATATAAATAATATAAATAATAGTTTTTCAGTATTAAAAATAATAAGAAAAATATATGTCTCCATATAAATGCAACCACTCCCCCAAATCAAACCTTTTAGAACATAATTAGATTGTGTGTGTGTGTTAGTTGCTCAGTCATGTCCAACTCTTTGTAACCCCATGGACTGTAGCCCAACAGGCTCTTCTGTCCATGGGATTCTCCAGGCAAGAATACTGGAGTGGGTAGCCATTCCCTTTTCCAGGGGATCTTCCCAACCCAAGGATCGAACCCAAGTCTCCTGCATTGCAGGTGGGTTCTTCACCATCTGAGCCAACAGGGAAGCCCATAATTAGATTATGGTAAGTTATAAGAGCAAGAAAAAGGCCTTAACATGGTAGGAAAATAAATGACTCACTTCTTGGGGAGATGCATGTTTCCTCCATTAAAAGGCACTGAGAAATATCAGAAAGGGCAGAGCTCGAATCCAAAGGGGGCAGTAGGAGATGGCAGAAGTACTGCAACGGGGCACTGCTGCCTTGTGGACCCAGCTCTGAGCAAGACCAGGATGAGAAGCTCTTACTCACAGTGTACCTGCCCAGCACCTCCCCTGGATGGCCTCTGGGCCACCATCCTTAGAGAAGTTGATTGTCAAGAGTTTTAGTCAAGCCTTACTCTTGGTTACCCTTGCCATTTTAAAAACTCACTTTTAAAATGTCAAGATTGTACTTTCTTTAGACACAAAGAAATTCAATTCAGTAGCTCACCTCTAAAGCCAAACCAAAATCTGGGAGAAAAGGCAACTTCCTATCAAACATTTGGGACAATTCTTCAAAAATAAGCAATTTCATGGGGAGCAAGGAGGAAAGGTCATGTGACCCATCATTCTTATCCAATTCCATGCTAGTAAAACATATTTCTGAAATTAAAGTGCCAAATCATTTTAACTTTGTGCTTCCCTGTGGCTCAGATGGTAAAGATTCTGCCTGCAATGCAGAAGACCCAGGTTTGCTCTCTGAGTTGGGAAGATCCCCTGGAGAAGGACATGGCAACCCATTCCAGTATTCTTCCATGGAGAATCCCATGGACAGAGGAGCCTGGCAGGCTACAGTCCATGGGGTTGCACAGAGTCAGACGTGACTGAGTGAAAGGTCATGTAGCCCCTCATTATTATCCAATTCCATGCTAGTAAAACATGTTTCTGAAACTAAAATGCCAACTCATTTTATCTTGTCACATACAGAAATCAGATTTAAAGACACTAGTATGTCTTACCCAGTGGTGTTTGCACTTTCTTCGGGATTCACTTTGATAATGCTATCAAGGGCTTCACTTCTTAAAAAAAAAAAGAAAATTAGATCAGTTTTAAAGTATTCCCATAGTATTTTTTAATATATACATTTCACATTATTGATGATTAATTCAAGCTTTTGGAGAAAATTATTATACTAGTATTAAATTCATTTTTGTTATAAAACTTATCTATCAATAAAAAGTTAACTTAATCTCTAGGATTCTATTGGGCCATGTAAATTTAAATTAAGATAGAACGTACTATAGACTCTCCAAAGTAAAGCTCGGGCAATAGGGTTCAGACGCAGAGGAGAGGAGCCAGGCTCAAAGATATGTCCCCCTTCAGTGGACTGAGAAAATCACACAGCTAACCCGGAGAAAATAACCAAGATTCGGAGACATAAAATCGGATCTCACCCTCTGCTTGTCTGATCTGTCGTGGCATTTGCTTTAATAACCTTTTTGAGATCTTGGCTTCTTTGGGAAAAACATGAAAACCTTATATCAGTTAGGTTGCATTCAGTTTTCTCTGGAAACCGTATAAACAAGAACGTCCCTGAAAGGGTGTCCGATGTTTCCAGGGCCAACTGACTGTAAAAATTGTGATGTAATTTTTCCTTAACTTATCTTTATTAATTTCCACAGTTTAGAAAGTCTCCCCCAGGACTTCCCTGGTGGTCCAGTGGTTAAGATTCTGCACTCCTAATGCAGGGGACCCAGGTTCAATCCCTGGTCAGGGAACTAGATCTCTCATGCCGCAGTTAAGACCCAAGACAACCAAATAAATTAAAAAAAAAAAAAAAAAAAGACTTTACCAACACACCTCTCACTTTGCTTTTTTGTCCTTTATATTTCTCAATTTAAATAGAAAATTTGTCTCATTTTTAAATTAATTAAGATAATACAGAATAACAGGCTTTTCGAGGGTGGGATGTTTTAAGAGAACAGCATTGAAACATGTATGTTACCTAGGGTGAAAGAGATCACCAGTCCAGGTTGGATGCATGAGACAAGTGCTCGGGCCTGGTGCACTGGGAAGACCCAGAGGGAGCGGGTGGAGGGGGAGGTGGGAGGGGGGATCGGGACGGGGAACACATGTAAATCCATGGCTAATTCAAGTCAATGTATGACAAAAACCACTACAATATTGTAATGTAATTAGCCTCCAGCTAATAAAAATAAATGAAAAAAAAAAAAAAAGAATAACAGGCTTTCCTGCACATTAGTGCCACTCAAGCATGTGGTCTTATGGAAACAGGATTCATCATATTCCTTACTTCCTCTCTCTGACAGACCCCAAAGTGCAACAGCTCATCTGTGACAGAGGAATCCATAACATTCCGTTTCTAATGAGGTGTAAAAAGCTAACATGAAAAAAGGGAGCCCCGTCACGTTAGAAACTTTACTTACCCTTTCTCGATTTTGTCAGCCCTTTGATTAACTTTAATAAGACTTCCAAGGCCTTGGTTTCTTTACAACATTGGAGGGGGTGGAGAGAGCAGAGCAGTGGAGAGAGAAAGAGAGAAATTCAACAGCAGATTTCTCACAATAGGAGTAAGATGTTATCAGTACCTAAAACATCAGGAATCTTTAGAAAATATTTAATTCAAGCAGCTCTTCTCATGCCAAATGCTGATATGCTAACTATCCTATAGTGAGGACCCAACCATGACTCAGTCATGATTGGTTCAGTTTAAAAGTTCTTTCCACATTTCAACTTTTGCTTTCTTTATCCTTCGAGGGTAGGTTGGTGGGAAGCTAACTTTAATACATGTGTTGAGATATTGTCTGCCTTAAACATGAAAATCATTCATATCAAGGGTGGAAATCAGAGGATCAACATTTTGAAACTAAACACTTTGAAGACTTTTAAAAATCATCTTTAATAAAAAAGCAACCTTGGAAAAGTAGAAATAACTCTATGATGACTCCAGTACTTTATATGAATTGGTCACAACAATAAAACTTACAGAGGCTGATAGCTTAAAACAGGGAAAATGAAAGCTAATCTCTCTAAATCCCCCAATTATTCAATGTTATTTTCATCTGTCTCTGTTTTTCACTGTGATAAGACTGTTGACAATCTGAGGTTTTCTTTCTGTATAAAGAAGAAGGAGGGAAGAAGGAAAAGGAATTATGCCTGCCCCCTACTATATCATTGAGAGCTCTTTTTTGCCTCAAAGCCCAGTCGCTATCAAGTTATCCCAGATCACAAATCATTCCCTTTTTCCCTCTTCCCTAGCCCATACAGTGATTGACTTGTGATACTCATCTCCCTTTCCCTAATTTCCACCACTTTAATGGAACTTTCCAAATTTCATTTCTTAAAAAATCTGAACTCTCATCATCTCTGAAACTCACACAACCACTTATAGAGAATTGACTGCTTTCTCACTTCATCTGTTCTCTATTTGGAAAAAAAAAACAAAATCACCTATAATAATGCTTGAACATTCATGTTATACTAATAAGTTGTTAATAAGTATTTGATGTCTGAATGGAGGTGGTGATTGTCAACACTTTTTACTATATAGACTTTGTTAAGTGTTCTGCATTAGAGAGGGTTAAGAAGGCTACTGCCAAGCTTGACCAGGAAAGCTAGAATATCTGCCTGTGCACAGATTGGCACAGATTAATGGTTTTTAAAGATAACCAGGACAATAGAAATCATCATGTTAGGAAGGCAAATCTAATGACTAACCGGATACAAGGTAAAAATAGCCAATCTGGAGAAAAAGCAGTAGAGACCTCATAAATCTTTAGCCTTATGCAATTCTTGATTGTTCTGGAATTTTCTTTAATGAAATTGTCAAATGATTTTTTTTCAACATGAAACATAATATCAGTAGTAATTCATTTTCTTGTATATCAGTGTCAGTTTAGAGCTGTAAGTTAACTTCTTTAAATGTTCAGTTACTGACCATTAATTAAGCCTTTTTATGATACAAAGTCAATAAAAACATGGCTTTTGACGTTGAAATGTTTACAAGTGCATCTGAGTGATAGACAAATGAAGTGAGTTGATCAACATTCCAACTGAAAGATGCTTTAGTCCCTGGTAAAGACTTCAGGGGTGAGGGGCTATACTACTGGCATCAAAATGTCTTATAGTGACTATATTTAGTGCTTAAACCAGCCTATTGTCCACTACTTCTAGTGAGCTGTTTGGCTTCTTTCACGTTTAGATGTAAAAGGGAACTTGGAGACCATTTATTTAGATCATACCCTTCATTTTATGGATTGAGGAAACAGAGGCCACTTGTCCAGGGTCGCCCTGAGTGATCCTGGTGACAGAGGTAGCACCAAGACAGCCCCCCCATCTCCTGACCCTGATCAAGGGTCTGTTCCACCAGCCTGTCTGACTCTTGTTTTGGGCAGAAGGTCTCCCCCAGGGAATGGCACACAGTTTAGGAATCAATCAAAAAAGGCTATAAGAGTCTCAATCAAATCTTACCCTTTGCCATCTTTATCTGTCCGGGTATTCACAAAGATGAGATTTTCAAGGCTTTTGGCTCTATAAAACACGAAGAAATTAAAATAAGAGACTGCATATTGAAAAAAAAATTATGTGTTATCTTAAAAGGTCAGAAACAGTAAAAAAATTTTCATGAATTGCTCATTTACTCTTACTGAATAGAGCAGCAGAAATCCTTCTGGGCAATTATGTCTGAACTAAATGTACAATACTGAGTGCACCGCCCCATCTGTTAGCACATTTTTATGCCAGAGGAGTGAACTCCCTTCCAGCTAATGTCTGAAAGAATAAAACAAGCAATCTGGGAGATAATATTTTCAGGTTAGAGACAGATGCACTTACCGTTTCTCCGTTAATTCTGACTTAAGATTTGCTCTGAAGAGACCATCGAGACCTTGATTTCTTTAAAAGAAATGAGTAAAAAACCTTGTCACTATTAATGATGGATACTTAACTCATATAAGCAAAGATCAGTTTATATCTGAGACAGGAAATAGAAGTTGTTTGGGAAAGATGAACCACGCTTCCTGAAATCACTTTATTCCAAACCGATTTTTTTCCTAGACTCAAATATTAAATTGCGGTGGACCTTGGAGAAAAGAAAAGAAGATACAAACTGGGGAGCCACAAGCTGTAATAAGTCCATTGTTTGCATTCAAGGAGCATTATTCTTTTTTAGTATGAGCCAATATTTACAAAGCTGGCCATGACATGTGGACACCTGGAGTTTCAGGATTTCCTGAAAATGTTCTGCAACTCTGGGCTCAAATTCTCACATTGCAACTGGAGCTGAGAAACATTCAGGCATCTGGGACAGGCACTCCCTCCATGTTTCAGAGCCAACTCCCTTCATGCATTTCTACCTGCCTGGCCTCATCAGAGTGGGGAGTCTGATTCCTGATCTAATACCTCCTCTCTCTGTAAATTAAAAAAAAAAAAAAAAACCAAACTGAAAAGCAGCAAATCGCACTGAGTCGTTGGTAGTCATTTATTAATAGATCATTTTTGTCAATGCAGGGTATGAAAAATCACATCTCTTTATCATCAGATCTATGCACTCATTTGACATTTGCTTTGTTTCTCATTCACTCTGGTACCTACTTATTTCATGCATTAGTGGGCCAAGTAACAGAGAGAGAACTAAAATTGCACTTCAGGCTTCAATTAATAAGATCTTTAAATTATGCAATTACAAATGATTCAAAATAAACAGGTAATATTAACTAAGAAAATGAGTGGGTTTTGTAGTGATTAAACTAAAAGCATTCAGTGACCAAACAAAACTATTTACATACTAAATAACAGAAGTTCAGGAAGATAAATGTGTTTATTTTTATAACTGCTTTACTAAACAATGGTGTATGAAAATCAATAAGACTTTAATATTAGTACCTTTAAATTGTAATAACCACTTGTAACAATGATGAAATGATGATTTCTGCAAGCTTTTTGTTCAAGATTTGTAGGACCCTTTTGACTAGCCCAGTATATGGGTCCTCATGCTCAAAACTACTGAAAAGTACCAAAGTGAATTCAGTAATAAAGTGAAAAAAAAAAAGATCTTACCTATTCAAACTTTTATTCATTTTGATGAGATTATCCAATTCTTCACTTTGGGAAGAGAAAGAATGTCTCCCATCAGTAAAAGTCAGGGACAGATTCAGCTTAAAACAACTATTTCTGAGTTTTTGAAGTTCAACAAACATCCCACCTTCATCATCCATGAAAAACATGTCTATCTTCCAAAGCTCTCCTCAGACAGAACTTTCTCCAAGAAATCTTTCCCAGTCCACAAAGTGAATAGAGTCCCCTACATTTTTGGAAGGCTTGCTGTGTTTTCGGTTTTTGTATCTCCTTTATGGTACTTACTTTGCATTACTTTGTAATGTATTAGGTTGGCCAAAAAGCTTGCTGGATTTTAAGTAAAAATAAGACATGTTTTTCAGATTCACCAAGAATTTTACTTAATAATGCATTGACTAACCAAAATTTTTGCCCAACGCAATAGTAGTCACACACTTGTCTCCTTGCTTCTACATATATGAGTGTGAGTGTACACAGACACACAGACAGACACATACACACATTCACACACCACTTCCAATTTAGAACAGTTTTATATTGGATCCTCTCCAGTGTTTAATACAGAGTTTTTCACACAGTAGATGCTTAATATAAGGTCAAATTGCATCAACAAATACAGATATATTGACTATTATAGATTATATTTTTGCGTAATGTGCTTGCACAGAGAAGCTTTTAGAAAACACCCATTTATCAGTAAGTCTGGTCTCTTTCTTGAATTGTATTCCCCCTCATTCCTGGTCGGCTAGATTTGCTCTCCTGTTTTTGTATATGAGAACTGTGAAGTCTATTGGCTGCTTCTTCAGGAGCTACCTGTTTAAGCCCAACCCCTGTGTTCTGGAATATTCCTTAACTCAGCCCTCTCCCTCAAGAAGGCGGCTGGAGTGGTTTTTCCTTCCTGTTTGCTCCTCATGGAACCTCCTCCCTTCATCTGTTCCATCTACCCGCTTTACCCCCGTTTCTCTTGCCTTCCTCATCCAGTTTTCCAGTTCATAAATCTTGGTTCTCTCTTTTTCCTGCTCTAGAATCACAAATTGTCCACACTTCCTCAGTGTTCCTCTTTCTTCTTGAGTCATCACTGGCATAGACCAGGAGGCCAAGTAAGTAGGTAGTTAGACATTCAGGTTCCCAAGTCAGGGATACTTGGATTCCAATCCAGGCTTTACTGCTTATTACTTGGTCACTGGGTGAGTTGTCTAAACTCTTGCTCCCTCAATTTTTTTCAGTTTCAAAATAAGACTACTAATCATCCCCACCTCAGAAAAGAACCAATAAGTTAATGAATAGAAAGTGATTAGTGTGATGCCTAGCATGTCATAAACTCTCAATTAATTTTGGCAATTATAGTAAACAGTTCCCAGTCAATATTAATGTTTTCATTTTTAAAATGTTCATTACATTTATTTTTTAACCTGAATTTAGAGGCACCAAGACTTTGGCTCAGCTCTAGAGAAGTATAGTCACTCTCACTAACGAGCTTGGAGATGCCTGGTACGGCAGATCACCAGAATAGTTACTGGGATGGTCCTCTTACGGACCTGAAAAACTTATTCAATCAACGGCCACCACAGAGATGAATCCTTTCAAGTAATAGTTCGTATTCAATGGTAGAGTCAAAGGCTGAGAATAAATATAGAAATCTGAAAGCTGCTGATCCTGACAAAAAACGGATTAATGTTCTATCCTTGCATGGGACAAACGTTACCCAGATCCTGACACAATGCTATATTGTCATCTCTTATTTGAAATTCTACCTTCCAACTCTGAGACTACAAATCTGTTCCATGTTCCCTAGGGAAAGAGCAAGCTCTATAGATTTTTGCTCCAAACCTTTCTGACTGGTGAGTCACAATGATGAGATTATCAGGATTTGGGGTTCCACAAGAAAATTAACATAGATCATGAGAAGACACTCTGTGGGAAATGAAGTAAAATGGAGACTGTATTCTGAATGAAGAAACTGAGCTTTTAAAATGGCATCAAGTTGATGAAAGCTTGAATATTAAGTTTCACCACCGCATTTGCAATAAATTAAATGCTCTTAGTCAGATAGGAGTAATAGTCCATTTCCAAAAGGAGTATTACAAAGCAACTCGGATAAAAATAAAAGCTATATCAAGTCCTTAGATATAGCCCAGAGCATCAGACATTTCCCCTGGTCCCCGTCAAAGTAGCAGCTTCTCCCTGTGAAGAACGTGTCTGGCTGTGGAATTTGTGTATTGGGTGAGGAAGAGGGGACAGGAAAGCTAATCCAGCTGAAGCTCTCACTGTTTTTGCTTGACTGGCACCAAACCGTAATTGCCCTTCGGCATCACTCACCTATCTGTCCCTTAAACACCTGTCAAAAAACTGTTCAATCCCCATAAAAATATTACCTCAAACAAAAATGAATAAATAAAATGAGAAATCTAGACAACAGAAGACTTAGACAACGGAAGAAATGAAAATGAAAAATTGAGGATACTTTCCACCGTCTCTGTCCAAATTTAGACTGTGTCCATGAGTTGCAGAGAAGAGCTCACTGTCATTTCTGTGACTTCTCTTCAGGTCTTTGAGCTGGCAATCCTAACAACCCTCTTAGCACAGCTAACTTCCACTGAGCAAGGAAAAAAATTCTGTAAGCACAGCATTAAACCATGGAATATTTATACCCAAGGTTTCCTCACTGCTCAGCATTGTGTTACCATTATCCACTATATAAACACTTCTACTTTGCACAATGCATTGTATTAGACTTTGCAGATGACAGATGGTGAGAAAGACAAAGTATCTGCTTTAGGAGATTAAAGAGATAATAAAGAAGATGATACATTTATATAAATACCACAAAACAATACTAAATATGATTAGCTGTTATGTAACTTGAATAATAGGACTCTAATCACTTAAGAAGCAGGCAGAATCACATCTCACTGGGTCACTCACTTGGAAAAGACCTCACAGAGGCGCTGGTATCTGATCTGGATCTTGAAAAATGGGTAGGACTTGAATGTATGGATACGGTGACCTTAAGGCTGGAAAAGGCCTCATGAATAGAATGGTATAAACAAAGGCAGAGGCTCTGGAAACTTCAGAAAGGAAGTGGTTTAATTTGGTACTGAATGTAGGATAAATGGAATTGGTGAAGTCCGAAATTGCTAAGGAATGTTAGGTCAGAGCCAGGTTAACAAAGGCATTGAACGAAGTTATATGTAATTGAATAGGCCATGGGGAGCCAAGCGGAGTGATTTTTCAAGCAGAATCATAGAAAGAAAACTCCAGCAGTGATGGGTAGTAATGGTGTAGTGGGAGAAGAGGTTGGAGGAGAGTCAGTCAGTCTCAATAGCTACTCTGATAACCTGTAATGGAACCAACGAGGGTTTGAACTGGGTGAGGCCATGGGGGTGTGCAGGGCACTTTAGACATTTAATCCATACATGTCTGATACTACATAAAGGGGTCAAGATGGAAGAATCAAAAACGATTCCAGAAAGGTGAGCTTGCCTGAATGAAAGAACACAGAGAAGACAGGAAATACCACCTTTGGGGAGGAAGTTGAAAATAACCTAGGACATTCTATATGGGGGTATTGGGGAGATGGATAAGCACAGATCTGGGTCGGAACATAAATACAGGACTGGAGGTTTGGAGCAAGGTCACCACCATGAGCGTCACTCCACAGAAGAGAAAGCAGAGAAAGCAGAGTGTCCGTCAGTGTCAGTATTGCTCATTTCTCGGGAACACTAATCTAGAGACTGACTCTTTCTTCCTTCACATTATATATAATAAGCAGCATCAGGATTTCATTCATATTTGGAAGATTTAAAGGTACTGGCTAAGCATTTTTGAAACAAAAAGAGAAGAAAATATGCAAGTTCAAAACCTCTTGAGCTCTCACCCCTTGTTAGTTTTCTGAAGCGAAGTGGCCACTTTGACAATGTTCTCCAGGTCCTGACTCCTTCAAACAATGAAAAATAAACTCAAGTCAATGACAGTTGAGCTATGCTTAAAGGAACTAAAGTATCTGTGTTCAGTGAAGAAAGCAAAAGTCCATATGTTATCAGAAATTACTGACTTTAACTGAGTAACAATAGCCTATCACATCAGCTCACAGCATTCACACACGCGCACACGTGCACGCCAGTCATTCCACCCAGGCATTGCCTCTGCCATCTAGTGCTTGCTGAAATTATTACAGTTTCTCCTAAAGATGTGTATCAGCTGTGTGCAAGTTACATACTTAAAAAGGATATGGGGGGGGGGGGATTCAATTAACTGCACAAGTAAACACAGAGTATGTTCAGAAGTTTTTCTATCAACCAGAGAACATTGTAATGTCACTGAGCATACATCCTTGGGCTTCCCTGCTGGCTTAGATGGTAAAGAATCCACATGCCAATGCAGGAGACCTGGATTTGATCCCTGGGTTGGGAAGATCCCCTGGAGAAGGGAATGGCAACCCACTCCAGTATTCTTGCCTGGAGAATCCCATGGACAGATTCCCATGGACGGCAGGCTACCACTCATGGGGTCGCAAAAAGTCGGACACGACTGAGGGACTAACAGTTTCAGTTTTCAAGGAACATTGAGCAACATATTCAGAAGATCAATTAACCCCTTATATGAAGTGAAAGTAGCTGTCTTCTTAGACTTCCAAAGGGAAAGAAAGTACATTTAAAACTGTAGGGTATGTGGAATCACCTGGCATGTAATGGACTTAAATCTCTATGTCATGAAAAGGAATAATTAGGGAAAACCTTTTAGGTTTAGCTGAATTAAGACCTGTGTTTCATAAACAATACTGTATAGAAAGTTAACAGAGTTCCATGAAGAAAGAATTTTGTAGTCAACTAAATTTAGGAAACATAACTGACTTTTAGAGATTTGGAATGTACATACACAAACATTGAAGGCTCTGGAAATTCATGATAGAGAAATCTATTCTCCTGTGTTTCCTAAATATGTTGGCCTTTAAATGCCTCTTTCCCAGAACATTCATTGATATCTTGTGGCACATGGGACATACTGTAGAAAATGCTGAGATACAACTGTACCTTAAGTCAGTAGGTACAAGGTACTCCCCCAAAAGGAAAGGTATCTGTGTGACATAAGTCTAAGAGTCAGGGGGAATAATAAAGAAAAAAAAGATGTATGTAAAGTTTTGTACTTTGAAAAGTGTTTTCAGTTTAAAAAAAATTGTTTAAAATAAAGATTCATTATAATGGTTAAGATTGTAAATTAAGATGGGCTTCCCAGGAGGCCCTAGTGGTAAAGAACTTGCCTACCAATGCAGGTAGGCATAAGAGACATGGGTTCGATCCCTGGGTTGGGAAGATCCCCTGGAGAAGGGACTGGCAACCCACTCCAGTATTCTTGCCTGGAGAAGCCCATGGTCAGAGGAACCTGGAGGGCTACAGTCCATGGGGTCGCAAAAGAGTTAGACACAACCAAAGCAACTTATCCCACATGCACAAGATGGTAAATTAATGCTGTGGTTTTTACCATAAAAAAAAAAATAAAACTGGCTTATCATATTGGTTGACTTATAAAATAACACTGTTCAAAAACCTATTTCAAAAAATAGTATTTTTTCAAATAAATAAATAAAGACACACCTAAAACAAATACTAAACGAAATGGGATGTTTAAGACAATAGGTGTAAACCAGGACTATCATGGGGAAATCTTACTCAAAAGCATCAATACAATTTGTAAGCCTTTTACTGATGGTGCAGGTGAAGCTCAGTGACTATCATACAGCCAGTTCCAGGCAAAGGCTTTGTAGATGTTCAATCAGATGACTGCATTTCCACCCATTCCCTTACACATCAACACCATGTCATAGTCTCTGGGACAAGTGTTAGGAATAAGGAGAGATTTTCCTGCCTTAAGGGGTTTGATCTTATTCTCTTATCATATTCAGGCAATTTTGGTTGTTCTTAATGTGATGCTTAGAAACAGCAATAAAAGGAATAAAATTATCTAAGTACATTTAAAAATATTTATTACCCACTATTGAAATCAGCTGGAAAACTGATTTTGTCTGTTTTATTAATTTCACGTATGTTTCAGTGTTCTAACAAAGCATACTTTATCGTTTATACAATTACATAGATATAGAGATATCAGGATAGATCATTGTACCTTATATTTCTTTCAGCAGATCTGTTGGCTTCTGTATATACACTTGGTTTAGCTGGATATATTTGCCTATATTTTTCAAATTAAAGATGAGGTCTGTTAGGTAAGAAAACACTTCTCTGTTAAATTTAAATTTATGAGAAAACATTTACATTCAAAGAGATGAAAGTATGCTTGCTGGAGTAATAGCACTATGAAAATAAACTTCTAAATATGTTCATGTTCATTTATTTTAGTTTTCAGTCATCAATAAAGCACTTATCTTTATTAGATAGATACACTTATCTCTATTAGATAATGATACAATGTTTTTAAATAGTAAAAAATCATGTTTTGTTAGGTGTCAGAGGAATATCTTTTTCTCAAAGACTCATCCCATTTGAAAACTATCAAGAAATATGTTTGCTCAGATAATATGGTAAACACTATCATTTTTCTAGCACACCCACCACATTGGGAATGACCACACTGAGTTGTTAGAATTAAATTTTACAATGTTAGGTTCTGTAACAATTTGTGGTATAAGGCTTTTCTCGGCTTTTTTTCTAAGTATCTAATTGACCTACTTACACATTCTTGCTTGTTCTCAAGAAACTAAATTCAACCATTTTTTGTACTCCTGAGGACATGTGTTAATTACATAGGAAACACTTCCCTTTCATATTCTTTCATTAAAATCATCTTGCTGTGATTAAAGTAATCAGGGTTTAAAACATGCAAGTTGTCCTCATTTTATATTTAAGATCATTTGTGGAAGAAATAAATTAGAGTAGTAAAAACAGATTAGACCAGTTCTGATGAAATTTAGCTTCTTTTGAATCTATTCAATTCACTGCTTTAGAATCCAAGGTTTTGAATTTAGGAGGTACTAACACCAACTTTTTTTAGCCCTCTAAAAATCCTATTCGCATTAATATTAAATTGCTCAATACTGTCAAAGTAAAAGGAAAAATTACGTAAGGTAGAAAACCTGAAAAGTGATTTTCAAGTGTATAATTATACCCATTGCGCAGATTAGAAGTCATAAATCTGGCTTATATTTTTCATTAATTCAATGAAGAAGAATTTTTTTTAACATTAAAAAAAAATCATCCTCTCCTCCTAAGGACAAAATTTCAAAGTTCCTGTGACATTTCAATGAATAGAAATTCAGACTTGAGTTTTTAACACATTAGGTTGAATGCCTAAAGCTACATAGCCCTGTCACGCAATCAGCATTTTCTGGCCAAAGTTATCCTCTTAATGAAGAATAGTTTTCCAATAGTCCTACATGTTGTCAAAAAAATCACCATCAAAAAGTAAAAATACAAAAGAATCGAAAGCAGGCTATCAAGCAAATCTAATGTATTTAGTCTTCACTGAGATACCATTTTAAACATCTCTCAACAATAATGGAAATGTCTTGGAAAATAGCTTGAGATTAGTAAACTGTTTAATAGCAACACACGAGGAGGTGCTCAGATCTCTGAATTAGTTTCTAAGTATTTGTTTCTAAGTATTAATTAGAGAGCACTGCATTTCAAAATGGAAAAACAAGTCTGTCTTTTCTTTTTTCTTGATTTGGAGGCAAGGTAATTATAGCATTTTTCAAAATTTGTTATAGCTTTTAAATAAGTTACAAATGTCTCAATGAGACTAAAGAACTACCCAAAGGTATTTTCTAACATAAGGGAGGGTTTGAACAGTAACACAAAGTTTTAAGAAAATGTTAGCTCTAAATGAGAATCTTAACTAGTTAAGGTATATATATATGTGTGTGTGTGTGTGTTTGTATAAATATATATACACATATTTGTTCTTCTTGCTGTTGTTCAGTAGCTAAGTTGTATCCAACTCTTTGCAATATATGTATATATAATATATATATACATATCAATATATAAGCAATATATATACATATCAATAAATGGGCTTCATTGGTGACTTAGTGGTAAAGAATCCACCTTCAATGCAGGAGACATGGGTTTGACCCCTGGGTCAGAAAGATCCCCTGGGGAAGGAAATGGCAACCTGCACAGTTTTCTTGCCTGGGAAATCCCATGGACAGAGGAGACTGGTGGGTTACTGTCCTCAGGGTCACAGAGAGTTGGACATGACAGAGTGACTAAACCACCACTGCCGCACATATATACATTATATTTATATACAGGGAGAGAGGGGTTCCTTACATATTGGCTCCCAATACATAAAGTAGAGGAAACCTGAGTATGAACATCTCCTGAGCGTTATTATTGTTCAGTTTCTATCTTGAAAGTCTGTTTCCATAGGACAGGTAGCAGCGATTAAGTATCCAGAGGCAAACATAAATACACATTTGTGTGGGCAAACAGAATTAGAGCAGATTTAGAAGTGCTTCTGCAGTGAACCTGCACAAAAAACATACCCATGCTTTGCACAAGTCACAATTCATATGGTGTCATTTCCTTTAAACTTAATTTTGCAAGAAATTCTGGAATGCTAGGTCTTACCTATTATCCTGCTTCAGCTGGTTAGGAGATAAAACGGCAGAACTGGGCTTTGGAGGTATTGGAGGATGAACAGTTGGTTCCCTTTAGAACAGAAAACAGCAGTTCATTTCACCATGGAAACCAGGTAAATTTTAGCATCTATTCACCAAATGCCTTTGTTGTCTATGTGGAAATATCTCATGCATCTTAACCCTGTGCATGAGTACTTGAAAGGCCAGGATGTTTGAAGTACTAAATGTTAAAGAAGTCAAATGTGTAAATTGCAGGAAAGTTCATTTAATCAGATTTTTGGAAACCCTGTCCTCCCCAACTATAGTTTGAAACATTATGTGTACTTTAAACAGCTTAGTAATTTACTAGACTATCTCACTCAAGTTGTGATATTTTGGGTCAGCAGCGCACGAGCAGAGTAAATGGTTCCTGGGCTAGATTAACATATAAGCTTCTTTAGGAATTATTGCAACTATCAAGCTGCTATGGAAACAGCAAGAAAGGTTTTCAATTCCATAGACCTTAAGATGAAGTTGATTTGAAGCTCTTAACTAAATCCACCTTAAACATTGACAGCACAGGCCAGTTTGATGTTGGCAGAGCTTACAAACACTGTCAGCCTAAATTTTCCAACAAAGCACCAAGACAGCCTCTGAAATGGCATGATTTGATCACCCAGGAACTGAAACAGGCAATTATGGGCATATTTGGCATGGAGTTAGCACTTTACTTGGGTTTCCCTGGTGGCTCAGTGGTAAAGAATCCACCTGCAATGCAGGAGATGCAGGAGACATGGGTTTGAACCCTAGGATGGGAAAATCCCTTGGAGGAGGGCATGGTTATCTACTCCAGTATTCTTGCCTGGAGAATCCCATGTCTCACAAAGGAGCCTGGCAGACTACAGTCCATAAGGTCACAAAGAGTCAGACACAACTGAAGTGATTTATCAAGCACTTTACCCAGGGCATATCACTTCCCTACTCCCGAACTCCCACCCCAGTAGTTCCCCATAACCCTCAAGATAAATTCCATAGAGATACCCTGTGATCTCAACTCTGTACCTCTCTGGCTTCTGCAGTGCCCTGGGGAGCATGTAGACTCTGGAGTTAGGCTGCCTGAATTGCCAGCTGTGTGACAAGGGCCTAAATTATTCCATTTCCTCATTTGTAATAACCCTTCCAACAGCACTGTGGGGGTGTTGTTGGGACTGAATGAAATCATGCTTTTATTTAACACATTTATTGGTAGCTTGCTATGCATAAGGCACCCTACAAAGTGGATAATTTCCCTGTTTTCAGAAGGTTTTCAATACACAAATAAATAAATGACAGATGAAGAATAGTACTAAGAAGCAAATAAAACAGTGAGAGAGTAAAGTGATGATGTGGGAACACCTGTATGTGAAGTGAAATATAAGCCAAGACCTGAAGGAAGTGATAAACTGAGCCATGAGGCTGTTGAAGAAAGAGCATCATCAGATTTGAGATGGCATCTAACACTTGAAACTGGATAAGACCATGCAGGAAGTCAGTCTACATAGAGAAGGAAGAGGGCCAAGGTGGAACCCCTGATCCCAGCAATATTTAGACATCAAGAATAATGGGGAGGAAACAGCAAAAGGAATCTGAAGAGAAGCAGCCAAAGAGAAAAGAAGAGAAATATGAGAGTGTGGTGCCAGGAAGTCAAGTGAGACAAGTGTTTCCAGAAGGAGTAACTAGCCTTGCCAAGCCTTGCAAGACATTTGACAGATCAAATAAAACTGGGGTGGAGAGTTACCATGGTGTTGGCAACACAGTGGTCATTGATAAACCTGATGAACACAGTTTTGATGGAACCATAGTGGAAAAAAAAAAAAAAACAACCTTCTAGTGGATCTCAAAGAAAACAGGAGGCAGAGGGATAGACGTAGAGATTTCTTTTGAAACACTTTGCAGTGAAGAGGGAAGAGAAAATTGGGAAGCTACCTGAGGGTTGCTAGGTCAATGAAGGGTACTAGAGTATGTAGATATGACGATGGAATGAATCAGGGAAGATGGCAAATTTGATGGTGCAGGAGAGTGAGCAGAAAATGCTTAGACATGGGAAGCAAGGAGGCTGAGGGCACATGCAGGAAGGTCGGTCTTGGAGGCAGAGAGAGAGAGCTCATTGAACCCTCTCTTCAATCCCAGAGATAAGTATTCTGCTTCTTCCTATTTTATAGATGAAAAGACAGAGGTACAGAAAGTGAAAATAAATATCCCGTGATGATACAGCCGGTAAGGGGCAGAGTGCGAAATCCAAACCAAGAAGCCTGGCTCCATAAACCATCCCCCATGGTGCTGCCTCTCAAGGACTCTTTGGGCAACACCAATGGCTCCGCTGAAGTCAATGCTCATGGAACTAAAATAAGGCTAATACCCATTGCTTTCTTCTGCCACATTCGATTCTTCAGGGGCAGGAACAGATTGAACAGAGAGTGGATTAAGGAAGCTTCTAATTCAACCAAGAGAGTGCAATAAAGACTGATGACAAGGGAAGAGAAGGGGCATGTAAGGACGTGATTACAGTGAAGGGCTGTGGGATCTGAGATGGACATGGAGGGAAGTGAGGATGTGAGGGGAGAAGGGCTGTGGAAAGATGGTAGAATCAATGGATTGGTGGTTGTGGGACTGGAAAACTTCTGGAATCAGAGAACCGGAGGGATTGAACCAGAAAGTGTGGATAGAAAGTGAGTAGATGGAAAATGGAAGCCGGAAAAGGGAAAGCTTTGAAGTTTTGTAGTGTATATGGTTTCTTACAAGGGCAAAATCTGTGGGTGGCTGGGGTAGGGCAATGGACAAGATTGTTGGAGAGGAAATCAAGAAAGTGAAAGCCCAGGATGCGAAGGATCCATTACACAAATTTGGGAATCATCAGGAAGTACGAGGGCTTCCCTGATAGTTCAGTTGGTAAAGAATCCACGTGCAATGCAGGAGACCCTGATTTGGTTCCTGGGTTGGGAAGATCTGCTGGAGAAGGGACCGGCTACCCACTCCAGTATTCTTGGGCTTCCCTTGTGGCTCAGCTGGTAAAGAATCCTCCTGCAATGCAGGAGACCTGGGTTCCCTGGGTTGGGAAGATCCCCTGGAGAAGGGAAAGGCTACCTACTCCAGTATTCTGGCCTAGAGAATTCCATGGACTATACAGTCGGACACAACTGAGTGACTTTCACTTTCAGGCATTATGCTGGGAGGAGTGTTTGTGGGAGGCAGTGAGCCAAGTGCTGAAGTCCCCACAGAGTGAGGGTGAGTGAATCAGAGACCTTGAGATGACTCCAGAGAAGGAGAGACGCTCACAAGGGAATGGCTTCAGGGAGGACAGGGAGTTTTAGGAAGGAAGGAGAAATAGAAATTAGCAATAAGGAGCAAACAGGATCCCTCCCCTTCCTCCTGACCTCAAAGCATATGGGATTAGAAGAAAAGCAGCTGTCATTGAGAAGGAGGCTGGGGGAGCAGGGTTCTCTGGGAGAACCCACCAAGGAGGGAGAGATCATTCAGTCAGAGATGAAACTGAAGAGGAGTGAGTTTTGACGATAACGGATGACGTATCCAGGAAGGTTCTGTGGACCGGTTTGAGGGTTTGGGATGCTGTAGGGCTGAGTCAGGTTCAGTGATGCACAGAACTCTGCAGGGATGGTCCAGGTGATAAGAAATAATCTGACTGGGGTTCCCATAGGGATCCATGGCCAAAATGCTAGGGGACGTGGTGGAATTAGTCCTGAAGCTTTTCTGGCCCTGGGTGAGAGGCAGGAGAGGAGTGGACACACAGCACAGTGGGTCTGCTGGTTCTTGTGTTGATGGTGGCTTTGAAGCCAGCAAGAGGGCAGTGCAAAGCCTTAGAGCACCGCCTGGCTTAGTCTAAGGGTTGTGGCTGCTGCTGTTTTCATGCCACGTGAACCCAGCGCTGCAGCGGGGCCAAACCACTGGCTCTTCCTAACCCCATCCCACCCCAACACCACGCTCTCTCTCCTCTGGGGCGTACCTCCTGCTCCTGTCCACCGGAGAGCCCTTCTTGCCCTTCAGCCTCTGGTTTAGGGGTTACTGTGCGGAGTGGTACCCAGTGGTCCGCTGAACACTCTTCTATTTCTTCCCTTAGCACACCTTCATCATAACACATGCTGTGCTGGTCCGAATTGCACATAATTTTTTGTCTCCACCCTGGCTGGACCGAAAGTCCCTAAAAGGACTTACCAAGTACTATGATTGTACATGATGTTGGTGCCCCATAAAGAAGTGCTGGAAGAGGGAGGGATTGGCTGAAGTTTTATTTGATAAGAAGGAAAATGGGTACTGAACAGGAGTCTAAAGCTTTGAAAATCTGTTCAAGTTTACCCGTCCCATAGAAGTCCATTGTCCGTTGTTGACTCCACTACTGAGTACCTGATAGCTCAATTGGTAAAGAATCCACCTACAATGCGGGAGACCTGGTCAACCCCTGGGTTGGGAAGATGCCCTGGAGAAGGGAAAGGCTACCCACTCCAATATTCTGGCCTGGAGAACTCCATGGACTGTATAATCAACAGGGTCGCAAAGAGTCAGATACACCTGAGTGACTTTCACTTTCATCAAGTACCTGGTGGGCGCTGGGAGCTCAGATGAGTTACTGTGTAATATGATATGCCTGCAAAAGTAATTTACAGGAAAATACTCTCCCCATTCTGACCTAATGTTAGATTTCACAATTAGATGCTCTTTTATTTGTATTGATTGTCGTCATCTTCTCTTCTCAAAACATATCCCTGTGTTGCAGCAATGTAATGTCACTCAAATGATAATGTGTCTTTCATGTATCTGAATCGACGAGCTGGTTATATGCTTCTCTTCCAGGGACAGAGGAAAGGATAAGAAGGTGGTTGGCCCCAGGTATTAATGAGTCTACACAGGGCACTGGATATCTGAAAACAGACAGGAGAATAGTAACTAGATGGAAAGGAGGATTACAAAAAAGGAGACATGGGATGGTGCCCAACTTTGCTTATGCCAGAATCACAGTGATAAAAACCTGTTTCTTCCACGTAAAGTGGTGCTAAGATACTTCAGTTGTATCTGACTCTTTTGTAACCCCATGGACTG